AAAGTGTTGGCTTCCATTGTCTTTTGCTAATCACCTATCAGCAGCAAGTATCTGTTGGTTCCCTTTAAAGTTTCCACCTTTGTTATCTTAGTACTTTTGTTGCTCTCACATGTACATATATATGCTCTCTGCCTCATAGCTTTCATTCACCTGATGGAGGAGAAATCATATACTCTGAATTGTTGTGTTTCTTCATAATAGAGAAGTTGACATCCAAAACTTCTCTTCCCTAATGTAACATTAGTGCACAGCTCATCATCAACCACTCGTGTGGCGCTCCAATGATGTAGGTACTTACTTCTCATTGTTCACTGCCGGATGAACCAATGCTTTTCTCAAGGCTTAAATGTCATTGTACAAATGGTATCTCTTTCTCATTAAAAATGCAAGACGACTGGAGATACATGGAGCAAGGTAGACACTAGCAACTCGGCCATTTTGATGTCATCTGAGTGTGTAAGATGGTCATTTGGTTCTTCATGTTCATGCAGTGTGGAGTTAGTAAAGTGGTTGAAGAAGAAGCACTTAGTGTTGGCACTGCCATATCTGATTCTTGTATTGGCCAAAGTGGTTTTTCTTGAGAAGGACTGGAACTTGAAAAAGGATGCCATTTGATGTCTCCTTCACCCTCATGCATCGACAAAGAGGCATCGACATAGGTATTCCTAAGTACTGTTGAATTCTATGTCTGTGTAGATCTGAGTTAAAGAGGTATAAAAATGATAGTAAAGGTTTTTAATGCAGATGTGTCAGTGCTGATTAGTCTGTCTCCCAGACCCTTGAGAAAAAAAGCGCAATCCAACTCAAGTCTAGAATGATTTGGCAAGTCTAGATTGCCTCAGCTCTAGGCTGAAATTAAGGATTGGTCTGGGCTCCATTTTGATAATATTTATTATAATTTTTTTATATATATATATTTTTAAATAATAACTTTATTTCTGGGTCTAAATGTCAGTCAGCAGCTTAAGCCTCGTGACTTTCAAATAAGACAAGTTGGATGAGCCCCTGTGTTGTGCCCGACTCCCCACCCTACACTACCCCCTGACCCGTCATTGCACATACATTGATGTACACACTGTGACAAGGCACGTAGTCTCTGTTTGACAAGATATTAAGGTATGAGTCAATATTATCACTATTGATAGTGGATGCTGATCCAGTGAAGGATCATGGGAACTATTGGGTGTGTCACATCGACTGGATAGGTAGTGTACCCAGTACAGAGTGGTGCTTGGACACTTTTGTAGTCATCATGTTCTGATCATTGGAAACCTTTGTGGACTATTGCCAGGACACGACTTGTTAGGACATTCCTTTGTGGGAGTTATTGATTAAGTTGACATTATTATAATGGACATATTTTATGTTCAGAGCAATGTATGGTTTTACAGGTAAAAAAAAGAAAAAGAAAAAAAAAGAAATGAAAAAATATTTAAAAGCATCATGTTTATGTATTTATGATAAATGTAAAATGATAAAAGTTATGAAAATCTGATGCAGTCCAGTTTGCATTCCTTGTTCCAGGACATCATGATGACAGGAGTACACTGTCTCTGTCAGAATCTCTCGATCATGTCTGGGTTGCACTGATAGGCAACAATTAACAAGATAAGAAGTATCATCTTCACCTTTTCTGAACAATGTATGAATATTATTTTCGTACCACATGTAAATCTTGGCGTACTCGAACAAGCAACGTTTTAGGTATCATGTAATGGTTCACAAAGGAGACACATCCATGACAAGTGAAACAGTAGTCTCGTTACTGGCACCTCACCTGTCCATTGCTCATCACCGTCTCAGTGTGAGGCTTGTGTAACATCAACATCCCGCTTCTAACACTGAGTGTAGACAAACATGAGCGCCACAGTTATCTCGTTATCTGACAGCCTCCTACATACATGCCGGATAATTCAACATCCATGCTTCTGAAGAGTTGTCGACTTCTTCGTAAGCAGATTGTAGAAACAAATCAGCCGGGTATCACTGTAACCTCACAAGTCAACACCATGTTGTGTGTTGAAGGTGAGAAAGATAAGACAATAAACAAGCACCTGCTAGGGACCTCGCCAGTGTATGAACCTTACTGTTGCATAGTCTTGTCAAATATGACCAGTCATCTAGTCACATAGATTCATATCAAACGTTGAAAAACAAGCACCTGCAAGGGCACTCTAAACAGTGCAACAAGCTCACTTGAACATACTTCTGTTAAATAAAACCAATCGTATAGTCTCATTGATTCATATCAAACATTGAAAAACAAGCACCTGCAAGGGCACTCTAAACAGTGCAACAAGCTCACTTGAACATACTTCTGTTAAATAAAACCAATCGTATAGTCTCATAGATTATATGAAATGTTGAAAAACAAGCACCTGCAAGGGCACTCTAAACAGTGCAACAAGCTCACTTGAACATACTTCTGTTAAATAAAACCAATCGTATAGTCACATAGATTCATATCAAACGTTGAAAAACAAGCACCTGCAAGGGCACTCTAAACAGTGCAACAAGCTCACTTGAACATACTTCTGTTAAATAAAACCAATCGTATAGTCACATAGATTCATATCAAACGTTGAAAAACAAGCACCTGCAAGGGCACTCTAAACAGTGCAACAAGCTCACTTGAACATACAGTGATCGCTCGCTATTGCGCTCTTCGATAAAGCGCTACTTCGGTTATTACGCGCGGTAACGCATGGCTCCCAAAATTTATGTACACTTTTATTACTGAGAGTTTTACACAGACATAATTGTATTGTTGTTCGTTGTTCATTTGCACATAACGCTTCTCATTGCATAATCAACGGTTTATCGCTGAATGGAGTTCTAATAATCTGTTTGAAAACATCCGCGGCAAGTCCCGGAAATACGATTGTTCAACTAGTTAACTTTTCACACTATACATCCTTTGATCTTAGAAGCGCATGCATGCAATAAAAGAGAACCACAAGCGAAGTTTATATTCTTAATTAGTGGGCAATCCAATTTAAGGCTAAACTGTCACACACATGTAGTTGCTGTCACAACACGGCGGTCATTCATTTCGTAATCGCGCTTTCGTAACATCGCCTGTTTTTCCCCGTAGTTATAACAAGCGATTTCATTGGATTAAAATTTGTTTCTAATGACGCTTTCTTGCCGAAATCTGCTACAAGTTTCGTGATTGGTCAATTTTGAGCACGTGACCTCAGGCAGCCAATCAAGCTGTGATACCAAGCTCGTGTTTGATAAATTTCAGAAGTTAGCGAAAGATTTTTTGTTAAATCGTGTTATTCTGAACGTTTTAAGCAGGAAATCACGATATATATTAAAAATATCGAACTTCGCGAATGTATCGTGCTAGGTTACGAGCTGTGACAAAGATTTTTCATGCATATATTTTTGCATTAAACGTTGTGTCCGAGCCGAGAATTCAAGGCCACGAAAGCCGAGATGTCATTTGACTTACATTAAACGCGATCGCACGAAACGATGGAAATAATAACTTAGATGTAAGTTTGATTACTTTTAGATATATTTTTGTTGATTTTGTTTATCACTTTGTATAATATATTTAAAGATTTGCTTAAAATAGTCTTTATTTTGCTCTTTGACATGTTCGATGCGGACCCGTTGTCGAAATGTGTGTCCGAGAATTTTATTTTCAATAACATCGCGGGAAATAGTGAATAATTTTTTAATTTATTGATAAAAAATGATAAATTAGAATGGAATACGTATTTCAGACATTGTGAAATATGACAGATTTAATAAATGAATGATATTACAGTTAGATCTAGGTCCATAAAAATATATACTATTTTGACGTGACGTGAGATAAACACATAGGCCTATTGATGATTTGAGATTTGCCGAGCGCGCTCCCCCGCCTCGGCCTCGGTTAAACGGCTCATCGTCTATAACGCCCACCAATTATTTGGACCCCATTGGTAGCGCAATAGCGAGCGATCACTGTACTTCTGTTAAATAAAACCAATCGTATACTCTCACAGATTATATGAAATGTTGAAAAACAAGCACCTGCAAGGGTACTCTAAACAGTGCAACAATTGATCATACACCTAGTATGATACTTCAGTGAGGATAAAGTGTATCTATCTTAATTATGGATGTTTGGTCATAACCTGAAGTATCTCCATGTATTTGAAGCTCACTGAAGTTTTAGACTAGGATCTTTTGAAAGTATAAGACGACAGATATTGATATTATAATGATTAATATTCAATGTAATAGTTCATATTTTCAAGTTATAAATATATGCAACAGTACAAAATTAATGGGAAGGAATTTTAGGAGCATCAGAAAAATAGTCCTTAGTGTTATGTTGTGCATTTTTCATGCCTAAGGGAATAGATCAGTTTGATTGTGGGGCTGTTTGACCAAGTGGTATCTCATTACCTTTAAACATATATCCTTATAATAAAACTCCAGTGGTAGTCGACATATGTGGCCCCACATACCCATGATTAGATCTGTTTTAAGGATTCAGTAAACAGTCCAGCCTCAGTTTGAGGGGTCAGAGGTCAGCAGCTGACCATGTGGAATATGACCTAGCTACTCAACACTTCCTCATAAACAGGGAATAAACATTCTCCTTTTGTCACCTTTCCTTTGAAGCCTAATATTAGATGTTTTATTGGCTGATAATGACTGTGGTTTGTGCAGTTATGGGGAGATGTTTCACATGTTTGGATGTTCCCCATGGAGCAGAATGTCCATTTGCAACTTAATTGGTCAATGCTGTAAGGGGAATGGTAGGGGAAGAAAGGTCAACTGTCTAAAACATTCCAATGCTTAATTTGTAATGCATTTCAATGAGCTGAAAGCTGGCCTAACCATCATGGTGTTTCATGTCCCGATTCACCAATACATCAATGCATCAAAAATATTATCAGACAAATATGATATGTTTAGGATTGGTCATAGTGTGCATTTCATTGTTTTGACTTAAATTAACAAACCTGTTGATGAATTGTTCTTTGGTTTTCCAGGAAAACACCTTGTGCCAAAGTAGCCTGACTGCACTGGCTGTCAAATATGCAAAAGAAATCAAGACCCACTTTGCTGATGTGTGGGACCGACTGGAAGACCTGTGGAAAGTGGCCCAAGATATCGACAACTTTCCGGTAAATATACATCCCCCATAACTGACATCTTTCTGGTAGATACACATCCCCATTACTGACAACTTTCTGGTAAATATACATCCCCATAACTGACAACTTTCCGGTAAATATACTTGCCCATAACTGAGATCCTTCCGGTAAATATACATCCCCATAACTGTACTACAGTATTAATCCGGGTTAGAATTGGTCTTCAGCAGCCTATGCTGGTTGTAAGAGGCAGCTAAGGGGATCGGGTGGTCAGGCTTGCTGATTTGGTTAATGCATGTCATTATATCCCAGTTGCATAGATCAATGCTCATGATGTTAATCATAGATTGTCTGTCCCAGACTTAATTATTTACAGACCACTGTCATATAGCGGGAAAATTGCTGAGTGCGGCGTTAAACAACATGCAAACAGACAATACTACTGTATAAAACCAATCTCTGTACGTCGTCTCCTCTGACAAGTTGATTAGGAACATTGTGTTGTGGGGCATGTTCGCTAGACTTCATCAGCACTATGTGACTGGTATTCAGTGATTTATAATGTGTATATAAGGCAGGTATGTTGGCTTATTCCATTTTGGAGATATATATGTGGTAGTATACCAAGGAATGGCATGAATGATGCATATTCCAATGAAGTGTTATGTAAGACAATGTAAGAACATGTATATCTTGGATCGATAATACATACCCGCTAGGCATTGAGGATAGGGTGTTTTTATAATTGACAACTTGTGTATGGTATATATACATATATGTCACATATTTGATTAACTTCTTCATTAATTAATGTCAACATTTAGATTTTTACAAATTGACAAACATGTGGACACCCGACGGCCTTATGTGGAATGCTTTAGGCAATATAATAATATATTTCTTATGTATTAGTATGATGGCATGATTCGTGCATGTACATATAAGCATCAATTGAATGCTTCCTTATCTATAATAGTCAAAATATCAAAAACCTGTTTCACTGTCAGATGAAAGATTAGTGAACAGAAATCTCCTCAACGGGGCAAACACGACCAGATAGCAAGATGTGTTAGTAGTCATAGATAATATGTTGTCTGGATGACTGTCTCTATGGCCATCCTCTACTATCTATTTATAATGTGATGATGAAGTTGAGTCAGTATGTGCACCAAGGTCTACAGGACAGTGAGGAGGAGAGCTGGTGTATACGACTCGTAGATCACTCAGCTCCTCACACCAGTGTGTGACAGGTGCCCTGGGACAGTATCTAGGAATAACAAACAAGAAATTAGCACTCATGCTGATAATGATGTATGCCTTGGGCTTTATGAATAGATCTTCCTTATATGACAACAATAGACAGATTATTACTGGCTCTGGGGATGACATTACCTGGTACATAAACATCAGGCCTTTCTGGTTTCTTTATTATTTAAGACACTGGTGGCTGAGTGGTGAAAGTATTTGCTTGCCTTCAATATCTGTGTTTGTTTCCACCACCATATAAACTGGCCAGTCTTGGTGTCCTTGGGTTAGAGTCCCAGATAATATTGGAATATTACCTTGGGGGATATATCTTATATTTACATCTGATTATTCCACTGAATGGATACTATCAGTGATTATCTTTAAAGAGAAATAACTGCCCTCTGAACTGGTGACAATCCTGGACACTCAAAGCAACAGGCATATTTTCTGTTTGACACATCCAATAAATAAATTGACTGGCTTCAGTCTCATTGAATGAATTTTGGTGTTCTCACATTACGGTTGTTTGAAATATTGGGCCATTTACCAAACCCAGTTAATTGGTGTTGTGAATGGTAAGTGTGGTGCCTATTGTCAACAGGAATGACCTGTAACAGCCTTACATCGCAGGGAACCAGTGGATGTGTAATTTCGATCATAATGTGCCCTTTACATGCAAACAGAATCAAGTTCCCTGATATCAATGATGATTGGTCTCTCTTGGTTCCTATTGGTGGAAGATCCGACTTGAGAGTGTAGGAGTGTAAGGGACTTGTCACAGAGCCTGAAACATGTCACATCACCATTGATCTTTGATGTTGTCTGGGGGTCATGTTTCTCAACAGGGACTGGAAGGGAAGCCTATCTTATCGATATCCTGTCCATCAGGTTATTGGACTTTTGATTTATTACTTGTTGGCTAAGATGAATATCTTCTTCTGTTCATTGGATAGTCCATGGCCAGCTACAGTATTGCAGTATTCATGGAAGCAATTGTTGTTTTGTAAGGGATGGTTATTGTACATGTACAAGATGAAAGTTTTCATTGTGGTGCTGATGTTATTTGTGTGGCTCAATAGCTGTTGCTATGGCTTCTGCTGTAGTTGTAGTGGTGTTGTAGGAGAAAGTTGTAGTGGTGTTGTAGGAGAAGTTGTAATGCTGTTGTAGGAGAGGTTGTAGTGGTGTTGTAGGAGAGGTTGTAGTGGTGTTGTAGGAGAGGTTGTAGTAGTGTTGTAGGAGAAGTTGTAGTCGTGTTGTAGGAGAGGTTGTAGTGGCGTGTAGGAGAGGTTGTAGTGGTGTTGTAGGAGAGGTTGTAGGAGAAGTTCTAGTGGTGTTGTAGGAGGAGTTGTAGTGGTGTTGTAGGAGAGGTTGTAGTGGTGTTGTGGGAGGAGTTGTAGTGGTCTTGTAGGAGAAGTTGTAGTGGTGTTGTAGGAGAGGTTGTAGTGTTGTTGTAGGAGAAGTTGTAGTAGTGTTGTAGGAGAAGTTGTAGTGGTGTTGTTGGAGGAGTTGTAGTGGTGTTGTGGGAGGGGTTGTAGTGGTGTTGTAGGAGAGGTTGTAGTGGTGTTGTAGGAGAAGTTGTAGTGGTGTTGTAGGAGGGGTTGTAGTGGTGTTGTAAGAGAGGTTGTAGTGGTGTTGTAGGAGGGGTTGTAGTGGTGTTGTAAGGGAGGTTGTAGTGGTGTTGTAGGAGAAGTTGTAGTGGTGTTGTAGGAGGGGTTGTAGTGGTGTTGTAGGAGAGGTTGTAGTGGTGTTGTGGGAGGGGTTGTAATGGTGTTGTAGGAGAGGTTGTAGTGTTGTTGTTGGAGGAGTTGTAGTAGTGATGTTGGAGGAGTTGTAGTGGTGTTGTAGGAGAGGTTGTAGTGGTGTTGTAGGAGAAGTTGTAGTGTTGTTGTAGGAGAAGTTGTAGTGGTGTTGCAGAAGTTGTAGTGGTGATGTGGGAGGAGTTGTAGTGGTGATGTGGGAGGAGTTGTATTGGTGTTGTAGGAGAAGTTGTAGTGGTGTTGTAGGAGGAGTTGTAGTGGTGATGTGGGAGGAGTTGTAGTTGTGATGTGGGAGGAGTTGTAGTGGTGATGTGGGAGGAGTTGTAGTGGTGTTGTAGAAGTTGTAGTGGTGATGTGGGAGGAGTTGTAGTGGTGTTGCAGAAGTTGTAGTGGTGTTGCAGAAGTTGTAGTGGTGATGTGGGAGGAGTTGTAGTGGTGTTGCAGAAGTTGTAGTGGTGTTGTAGGAGGGGTTGTAGTGGTGTTGTAGGAGAGGTTGTAGTGGTGTTGTGGGAGGGGTTGTAATGGTGTTGTAGGAGAGGTTGTAGTGGTGTTGTTGGAGGAGTTGTAGTAGTGATGTTGGAGGAGTTGTAGTGATGTTGGAGGAGTTGTAGTGGTGTTGTAGGAGAAGTTGTAGTGTTGTTGTAGGAGAAGTTGTAGTGGTGTTGCAGAAGTTGTAGTGGTGATGTGGGAGGAGTTGTAGTGGTGATGTGGGAGGAGTTGTATTGGTGTTGTAGGAGAAGTTGTAGTGGTGATGTGGGAGGAGTTGTAGTGGTGTTGTGGGAGGAGTTGTAGTGGTGTTGCAGAAGTTGTAGTGGTGTTGTAGGAGAAGTTGTAGTGGTGTTGTAGAAGATGTAGTGGTATTACAGAAGTTGTAGTGGTGTTGTGCTGGTTGTAGTAGAAGTTGTAGTTGCAGTTATTATAACCGTTGCATACTTGATTATCCTGATAACCAGCAGGTCAGCATTCAGGTAACTTACATTTAGCACACCTGTGAACCGCACCTGTGTATTCACCTGAGCTCACCTGGCTGCCACACATGAGTAAACTACAGTTACCTAACTCTCAGAGTGTCAGTATGCCTACTGTTTTAATCATGGATCATTACCATTTATTACAAATGTTCATCAGCTATCAATCAGTCTGTGGACTGGACTGGAAACCCAATCCTTGCGGGGAATACAGTATACCTGTTGTACAATAGACACACCTGTGTAGGATCAGCCAGGGCATATGTAGGGGCAGCAGCACAATGCATGGGGTATACATGCTGTTAATAAACGTATTGTGTACTTGAGCTGCTCAGGTGTGTTACAGGTGCTCATGTTTTGTGTCTGCTTTAATTTTGTTTTTTAATTAAACATGTTTGAAAAAGACAAACTTATTGGGGATAATAAGAAGTTTCATCCATGTGAGATGTAAAACAAAAGTGGTTTGAGAAAGAAATGGTGCCTGGCCGCTTCTTCTCTGCCACAGGGGAAATTTTGCAGTGTACTTATTTTTGTTTCTTTATCCAGAACAGTTATAACTTATTGGCATTCACAAGAGACACCTTATTGATTAAAAACTTACTGGCATCGGCAAGAGGCACCTTATTGAGTCCTTGACAAATAACACACTTAAATGTGATAGCTGTTTTATTTCATTGCATGGAACTTGTTTGTTTCAGAGTGTATGCAGGAGTCCTATGCACAGTATCTATGGTGGATCAAGTCTGTATGGCTTCTCTCCCCGTGGAGTACCGCCGCCTCTGCCCTCATGTCCTCCGGTAAGTCACAATATCTCCAGTGGGTCAGTCTGTCCGGCTTCTCATCTCCCATGTCCTCCGGTAAGTCACAATATCTCCAGTGGGTCAGTCGGTTTCTCATCCTGTGGAGTACCTCCCCGTCTTCTCATTGCCCCGGTAAGTCACAATATCTCCAGTGGGTCAGTGTTTTTGGCCTCTCTCATGCCCCTCCCCTTGAATCCACTGATAAGTCCTCGTATATATATAGAGACCCCCAGTGTTCAATGTAAGGTTACAGTGATAGGTACAGTATGTACATCTCTTCTCCCCCTCCCCCATCCCCCCAGTGAGTCACGGCCAGGACAGGACTTGTCACACCGTCCATCAGACCAATAAGGTACTCCACTGTTCTCTAGGGGTCAATTATTTTAGCTCAAGCAAACCCCCCCCTAAAAAGTGATTTTTCTCGGCTTCATGGCAATGTCTACATTACCAGAAGGAAATAGTGCCACGAAAACATGCTCATGGAAACCAGATATAATTTTAAGTATTACAATAAATGAATAAATGAAAGTCAATAGTATTGACCATGTTTTTGGTGTGTGAATCATAACTTAAAGCTGTGAAACTCACTCACTCACACACTCACTCACTCACTCACTCACTCACTCACTCACTCACTCACTCACTCACTCACCCAGAAAATACCCATTCAGTTCACTGTAATTAGGCTATGCATATCTCGGCATCTTCCAACATAGTCTCCACTACAGGTGAGCTACATAGCCATTGGGCTTCTACGCGGAGGGCTTCGTATAACAGTAATAGGAGGTTAGTCACATGATCATTATGCAGGGGTCATGTACTGTGGTGTGAAAGTATGATTTAGAAGCTAACACTGTGGCAGGCTCGTAGTCTGTCTCCCAGTCCCAGAACCATATTGTTTTCCCTTTCGCCCAGCCTTTTCTTTAATACAAAAGGCCTAAATGAAGTTGGAGAGTTTCCTCAGGTTCAGCTTCTGAATCCCCCATCTCCCTGGAGCTCCTTCTTAAAATAAATGGGAGTTATTTGTTTCTATCAAAATTATATATTTTCAAAGACTAAGCGTTAGTCTAGCAGGCTGGAAGCAGATGCCAAGAGCAAAGCATAGACTGGTTTTGAACTGGCCTGTCTTCAGGGAAAATAATATAGATAAAAAAATGAATCTTTACTAGCAATAGCCAGTTTAGCGGTACAAGAGAATAAAGACAATACATTAAATGAAGTCGGTTTTATATTGACAGTGTAGGGAGACAAGGAAGAAAAACAATGCATATTGAAAGAGCTAGTTAAGTGGTTATGGTAAGGACATTGCGATAAGAGAATGAATAAAACAATGACTATAAGACTTATGTGTGTGTGACATATTCACTGTAGCTTCCCTATCAGATGGAGACAATCCGGATGTGTTCCATCCCGAAACTTGGCCATTATTTCTCTCATATTTCTGTGTGCTTTTAGTAGTCCAGACTAATGCTGATTTTATAGTGCTAGCCCACTGAGATACCATGCTGCAGTTTGACGTGAACACCCCACTCAGACACAGTGTACTGACTCCGACCCCACCAGTCTTTGTTTTACCCCTTAATTCCTAGCACCTTGCAGGGTAACAACAAGTTAATAATACCTTTGGGTATGAAGTAGACTGGATCAAACCCCCAACCTTCCACTCTCTGGGCAAGCGCTCTGCCACTGGACTACGGAGGCGGTCATACACCAGATGAAAACTTTACACTTGCTATGTCAGGAGACTCACATACAACTAAAGAAACACATTTAGTAGATTTGAGTTGAACTTGAGTGAGTGAGTGAGTTTGGTTTAACACAGCTTTTAACAGTATTCCAGTTATATCGTGGCGTGTCAGCTTAATGTGGGAGGAAAGCCCGAAGTGATGCAGGTCTCAGACGTTTACCACTTCGGTGAAACCCACCAGCACTGGTATGGTGCTGACAAACCTAGAAACATAATCGGGGCGAACCGGGATTCGAACCTACAATCATAGGTCTCTGCACAGCAAATCACGGCACCTTAGACGACTGGGCCCTCCGTGCCCCCCTTAATGAATTTGAAGACAGTAACTTCAGACTTCTTGTACATTCAGCAGAAAATTGATTTTACAATTTATTTCATATCATTATGCATATTTACTGGTCTTGCTTTGTAGTGATACATCACCTCATGGTACAGTCCTTGTATCATGATACAGATAAGCGTGATGGACCAGAAATTCGGAGAATTGTTTCCTCCCTATCATTCAGCTGACTCAGTTTGGAGTTGCTCATTGGATTGTGAGTGAGTGAGTGAGTGAGTGAGTATGGTTTTACGCCGCTTTTAGCAATATTCCAGCAATATCACGGCGGGGGACACCAGAAATGGGCTTCACACATTGTACCCATGTCGGGAATCGAACCCGGGTCTTCGGCGTGACGAGCGAACGCTTTAACCACTAGGCTACCCGACCGCCCCCATTGGATTGTGAACACAGAGATGTAACACTGAGCGTAACATGTTACTCAGGGTAGTGCTATTTGGTGTGTACATGAACCATGTTCAATCTGTGTGATAAAAGTAAAAAGGATGTAATTTAATCTATGATGCATTCAACCTTTCTCCATTTCTCTCTTTTAAAACTAAAACTTAATTATGAACCATTTGCAGCTGTTTCATTTCTTTCACCTGAGACAGAACTGTCATTTTGTTTGGTGAAAAGAAATGTTTTTTTTGTTACGCAGCAATATTATCTGGTAAATGTTTTGATTTGCTAGCTCAATTAACAGTGACATGGTTTTGACTTTTCTCTCCTTTGAGTTACATTTAAGTGTTGATTCTAATTGAACAAATTCCTTCCCTACCCACTTGAAATGTCAAGAAAACAAGCTACCAACAGCGTATTAGTTTATCCCAGCGATCAGTGTTGTTCTTGTAGTAATGCCAAAACTGAAAAAGAGACTTAAAGTTGCACTAGTGTTTCTGAGATGAACGTGTACACTTGAAGGTAAACATGCTAATTTCCCAATGTTGGGGCTAGCTTTGTACAAGAAACTTTGTAATGGTTCCAAACAAACGTAAACTGCAACAAACACATTTTTCCTGTTTGAATCTGAGAAAACACTTTCACACTGGCTGATGTGATGGTGTGTTCTTGGACATACACACACACAGGCATTTACACAGGTAGAAAAACTGGCCGAGGAAATGTCTTGATAGATAGTGCTGACGAGGTGCACAGGTGGGCTAGGCTGTCATTGCTGATATGATCATGATATGTTTCACTTGCCGACTCTTTAATCACTTTTACAGGAGAATCTGTTGAGGGGAATAAAATAATGTTTACAGAGTATTAAACACTAAGTCAGCCTTATCATTTCTGTATTAATGCTTTGAAAGCATGTTACAGATGAATGAGGACCATGCTGTCTTGTGAAGTTCAACTCCCCATGTGTAAATCAATGACCAAGCATGGAATGAGTAATGTGTGTAAAGGGATATGAAGTATCAAACTAGGATGAACTTTAACGCCACTTTTAACAGTATTCCTGTTATATCACGGCATGTCAGCGTCATGTGGGAGGAAAGCCCTATGTGATGCAGGTCTCAGATGTTTACCACTTCGGTAAAACCAACGACCACGGGTATGGTGCTGACAAATTTAGAAACATAATCGGGGGGAACCGGGATTCAAACCCACATTCATAGGTTTCTGGCATGCCCAAGGGACGCAACTCTACACAGCGAATCACGGCGCCTCAGACAACTGGACCACCCATGGCCCCCTAAAGGGATATGAAGTATCAAACGAGATGGAACTTTAGATACCTTACAGGTTCCATTATCTGCTGTCCCGGTGCTGTAATCTCCAGTAATACCACCCCATCCCTGTAAATGTCCCTTGAATGGTCAATGGGCGGATACAGAGGGGGGGTGCGGAGGTGTGCACCCCCCCTTTTTATTTCGAAAAAATCTTTATTTCTGTATAAATTACCACCAAAGACAATAAATAGATCTTAATTGTGCACCCCCCCTTTTCCAAAAAGCTGTATCCGCCCATGCGGTCTATAAGTATATTTATTTTACATGTATTAATGGATTGTTTTAGCTTTCCTTGGTCAGGGTATTGAAATTTTGTTAACAGCTGAAATGTTGTAAACAGTAAATTCATATGATAATGTGTTGTGAATTGTTCAATAGGACTCCATTGATAATATTTATATGATTTTGCTACTTTTGTAAATTTGATATGTAGCTCATATGTAGCTCATTAGGTTAATATTACTTTAAAAAGAGGCCTTCTTACTGTTCGTCTCAATCCTGACAGATTATTTTCAGTGAGGTATGTTTTACCAGATGTTGAGCACAACTGAGACATGTTTTGTTTCAAATTGTTCATTCATTGGAATTTCATATTTTTGGTGAAATCAGAAAATGTTCTTGATCTTGTTTACTTTGAAAAAAAGATTGTTTGTTAAAATTTGAATGCAATGATATATAAAGTTTTGTGGCTCCAACAACTTATTAATGTGCCATCTCCTGTTTTTGTTTCAGCCATCCACCAGCCATGTTGACAGAATGCCGGAACTCCCCATCTCGCCATATGCATACAGGTAACACCTTATTATACTACAATGTTACATCCTCACAGCTGAACACTTTACACCTGCAACACTTCAGACTTTAAACCCTGAACACTTTACACCTACAACACTTCAGACTTTAACCCCTGAACACTTTACACCTACAACACTTCAGACTTTAAGCCCTGAACACTTTACACCTACAACACTTCAGACTTTAAGCCCTGAACACTTTACACCTACAATACTTCAGACTTTGACACCTGAACACTTTACACCTACAACACTTCAGACTTTAACCCCTGAACACTTTACACCTACAATACTTCAGACTTAAACCCCTGAACACTTTACACCTACAACACTTCAGACTTAAACCCCTGAACACTTTACACCTACAACACTTCAGACTTTAACCCCTGAACACTTTACACCTACAACACTTCAGACTTTGACACCTGAACACTTTACACCTACAACACTTCAGACTTTAACACCTGAACACTTTACACCTACAACACTTCAGACTTTGACACCTGAACACTTTACACCTACAACACTTCAGACTTAAACCCCTGAACACTTTACACCTACAACACTTCAGACTTAAACCCCTGAACACTTTACACCTACAACACTTCAGACTTTAACCCCTGAACACTTTACACCTACAACACTTCAGATTTTAACCCCTGAACACTTTACACCTACAACACTTCAGACTTTAACCCCTGAACACTTTACACCTACAACACTTTAGACTTTGACACCTGAACACTTTACACCTACAACACTTCAGACTTTAACCCCTGAACACTTTACACCTACAACACTTCAGACTTTGACACCTGAACACTTTACACCTACAACACTTCAGACTTCAACCCCTGAACACTTTACACCTACAATACTTCAGACTTTGACACCTGAACACTTTACACCTACAACACTTCAGACTTTAACCCCTGAACACTTTACACCTACAACACTTCAGACTTCAACCCCTGAACACTTTACACCTACAACACTTCAGACTTTAACCCCTGAACACTTTACACCTACAACACTTCAGACTTTAACCCCTGAACACTTTACACCTACAACACTTCAGACTTTGACACCTGAACACTTTACACCTACAACACTTCAGACTTAAACCCCTGAACACTTTACACCTACAACACTTCAGACTTTAACCCCTGAACACTTTACACCTACAACACTTCAGACTTTAACCCCTGAACACTTTACACCTACAATACTACAGACTTTAACCCCTGAACACTTTACACCTACAACACTTCAGACTTAAACCCCTGAACACTTTACACCTACAACACTTCAGACTTTAACCCCTGAACACTTTACACCTACAACACTTCAGACTTTAAACCCTGAACTCTTTACACCTACAATACTTCAGATTTTAACCCCTGAGCACTTTACACCTACAACACTTCAGACTTTAACCCCTGAACACTTTACACCTACAACACTTCAGACTTTGACACCTGAACACTTTACACCTACAACACTTCAGACTTTAACCCCTGAACATTTTACACCTACAATACTTCAGACTTTAACCCCTGAACACTTTACACCTACAACACTTCAGACTTTAACCCCTGAACACTTTACACCTACAACACTTTAGACTTTGACACCTGAACACTTTACACCTACAACACTTCAGACTTTAAACCCTGAACACTTTACACCTACAATACTTCAGACTTTAACCCCTGAACACTTTACACCTACAACACTTCAGACTTTGACACCTGAACACTTTACACCTACAACACTTCAGACTTTGACACCTGAACACTTTACACCTACAACACTTCAGACTTTAACCCCTGAACACTTTACACCTACAACACTTCAGACTTCAACCCCTGAACACTTTACACCTACAATACTACAGACTTTAACCCCTGAACACTTTACACCTTTCCTACTACAACACTTTACTTTAGCTGTAAGTTACGTCCAGGTCCAAGACGTTTACTGTTGCCATGTAACTTAGGTTCACAGATGTGGTTCATATAGACCATGGATCACAACAGAGATGAATCCAGGATTCAAACCTGTGACCAGTAGATGCTGTCAGATAAGGGAAGCAACTCTGCATGGCGAGAATATTGGTTTTTTTGTCCGTGTTAGATTGGACATTGATGTCACCTCTTGTACTTCCATTATCCTTCCACAAGACTTCGGGGCGGTCGGGTAGCCTAGTGGTTTAAAATCATACTCACTCACTCCACAAGACTTCCACACTGACATGCTTTGAACAGATACAGTGACTGTGAGATCTGTGATGAGAAGTAAGGCCCTCAGTGTGGCATGTATGTTTATGTTGTAGTTTGTTTCTGTGGGGAGAATAGGGTTTCCATTCTACTTCCCTGGAGTCCTTATATCTCTGACTAACTGTGGGAAGAGCAGTTTGTTGATATTACCTCATGGCTGTTGCGAAGTCTTGATGTTCGTGTTTGATTGAACAGCGCACTGGGATGAAGTTTGTACATGCAATATGGCCGTCTGATTAGCATGATGGGACTGCTAGGTTATCATTAAAACTCGGGCAGTTATCAAGTCACAGGATACGAAATGTGTCCACTCAGGGCAGTTCGAATAGTGAGCAGTATTTCTGATTCAAAAGTATCATTAAGGGCCATCTTATGATGTCGTTCTGACCTTGGGAGGTCATCATGTTCTCAAGACTCATCTTTGCTTCATTATATGACAAGGACCTAGTAAAGACAAGCAAATGTTCTTACAGAGATAGGTTGCTTGACATATGGTGTAATCTTTGGGAAAGAGCACTTCCAAATATTTAAGTTTTTTTGTCCTTTTCTTTTTTTGAAAATGTTGTAAATATTTGTTGTTAGGGTAAATGATTAAGTTAATTGAATATCAACACTTACTCTGCATTTGTTTTATTCAGATGAGTATTGAGATGGGGGAATTAATTAAATAGGGCCATTAACAATTCAAATAACAAAAAAAATTGGTTCGATCATATTTCAAAGAAACACCAACAATTTCTTTACTTTGCATGAAGAAATGCACTTTAACCATGCGCGCCAAACAGGTCCATTGAGAATTGGTTTCATAAAATTTAAACACGATTATTCAATGGTAATACACAGTCTTCAGGGAATTGCTTTTGTCGTGTGTTGAAACAGGTGAACAATGCTTGTGTCATGTCACCAAGAATAGCTGGTTTTCATTGCTTTGGTTCCTAGACAGACCCATTGCACGTCTATCTTGGGTTTTTGAGAGATTAGGCCCCCATTAACCCTTTCACCACTTTCTTGCTGAGATGCTGAATGGGGATCATGAGGACACAAGGTTCTGTCAGACTGGGAGGTACTCTCAGCCAGACCTGATAACTGTGCAGTGTGTCTTGGCAATTACAACCTAAAAAGTAATACAGTCTTAATGCCTGATACTTACTTTTTTTTCTATGGATATACAAAACATTTTCCTCCAATGTTATGCTGACAGGCTGTGATATGTCATCACTGCATTAAGGAGGCAATAAACGCCCACTCACTCACTCACTCACTCACTCACTCACTCACTCACTCACTCACTCACTCACTACCTCACTCGCTCATTCACCACCTCACTCGCTCACTCACCACCTCACTCACTCACTCACTCACTCACTCATGATTCGGGGCGGTCGGGTAGCCTATTGGTTAATGCACTAGCTCGTTGCGCAGAAAACCAGGTTTCGATTCCCAACATGGGTACAATGCGTGAAGCCCTTTTCTGGTGTCCTCTGCCGTGATATTGCTGAAATATTGCTTAAAGCGGCGTTAAACCATACTCACTCACTCCCCATGATTCTGTAGCTTAGTCTGCTGACTTGGTCAACACAAGTTCCATTTGTATTGCAGGAGTTGTGATCCATCTTGTCATTGCTGATCTCATATGATTTGGAGAGATTACTGCTATTTATATGATAATGCCGACGCATCAGCTCGAATAATCTTGCAGGATATTGTTAGGTTTCTGTAATGGACGATTCCTCTCTGAATAACATTCATTTCAGAACACTGAGGTGGTTGAGTCAAACTATCGCCATTAGTACTTGATGTAATGAAATGTCATATGTAAATTATGGAAGTGGCAGTTTTATGAAAATTTGATTTTCTCATTCCATGAGGATTGGTTTCTGTGTATACCAGTTGGTTGGTTGGTTGGTTTGTTGTTTTATGCCACACTCAGCAATATTCCAGCTATATGATGGCGGTCTGTAAATAATCGAGTCTGGACCAGACAATCCAGTGATTGACATCATGAGCATCGATCCACACAATTGGGATTGATGACATACATCAACCAAGTCAGCGAGTCTGACCACCTGATCCCGTTAGTCGCCTTTTATGGCAAGCATGGGGTGCTGAAGTGTGTACAAGTAATGTATCCACATAAGGATCAAATACATGATGCTTCTTTTGACGACCCAGCATAAGCATCATGCCTGGTTGTGTCTTGTCTGATTTCTTTTGTATCAGACAACACCATCATGTGTGTCAGATAGTATATGGGTGGAACTGCTTTGTATGGACTTTAGATACTCCTTGTACACATTTCACTGGAATGTTCAGTGTATGTAAGACGTTGGAAAGCTTAAACTTAATGATTGTTGGAAGAGGTGACTATGCTTGTTGGTCAGACTAGGCAACTAGTTAAACAACTAACAGGATCGGATGGTCAGACTTGATTTGATACATGTCATCGTAGCCCTATTGTGTAGATTGATGCTCAAATCAATCACTGGATTGTCTGGTCCAGACTCGATTATTATGACAGCCGTCATACAGATGGAATATTGCTGAGTGCGGCGGTATTAAACAACAGACGAAACATATAGATAAATAATTAGATGTCACTATTCCTTGAGCTGATAATATAATAAATACTTCATGTTTTTACTCATATTCCCACATCGACCAGGGGCATTGTTTCTTTGTGATTCTTTGTGATTTGTGCTCAAGGAATCCTAATGGTGTCAGTCTAAAAATCAAGAGGCTAAAATATGGATTAATCATAACGCCAACTTTTGTTTTGATTCACTTTAGGTTGCTTTTCACTTCATTTTTTGTTTTGAGTGCTTCGCAACCATTAGGATAATGGTGATTACGATCAAGACATTGCCATATTTAGTGCCATTACAAGCTAGGGAAAACAAAACAACACTGTCATCACTCACGGAATTACTTTAAGAATAGATCCCTTAATATCATAGAAAAAGTCTGATTAACTGAGACCTCCCTGGAGCCCTTCTACAAAATCAGGAAGTGAACCAATGCCACCATATTTAATGGCCGATCAGCAGTTTGCAACATCCGGTTTGTTCCCGCACATTCAGAGATAATATAAGCGATGAGTCGTTGTGTTGTGCGTGTTTCCTCCCCGAGCAGAAGAGTGGAGTTGCTGCAATACTTGACAATAGAGACAAAAACGCTTGAGTTGTGATTGTAGCCAAATGGCCATCGAATCATTACAGCAACCTCCATTCATCTCTGTGTAGGGAATATATTACATCACCAAATACATGTGTTGGTGTCTCATAAACAAAGAAAATAGTTTTTGTTGTCGTGAAGTAAACATTAGAAAGAAATGTAGTTTCTATGTTTGCATCTAATGCTGGTTCAAATATTAATTTTTTTCGCAGTTTGGTCAAATATTGACAAACATTGAAGCATTCTTGTTATCTAAAATTTTGATGAAGCTGTGTTTGAAATCAATAAATACAGGAGTTTCAAGTGTTGACATTCTGCATGTGTGGTAGGCCATTATCCCAGGGAGGAGAACAACATTATGTTGTTGACATGGAGAAGCTCCTGCTGGTGGGGGACATGTTGTATTGACTGATACTTGCCTCACAACTAGCTTTCGTTTCCTCTTTGAAACTGAGTTATATCTCGGGGGGGGGGGGGGGGGGGGGGGGGGGGGGAGATATTGGTGAACACCAAGTTGGAAATTGAGTCATGGTTGCCTTTAGTGCTGGGGTGTTTCCCCTCTAACCAACACAGTAGCAATATCCCTCTGATCAACCCAGTAGCTATATCCCTCTGATCAACACAGTAGCAATATCCCTCTCATCAAGCCAGTAGCTATAAAGCTATATCCAACTGATCAACCTAGTAGCAAATCCCTTTGATCAACCCAGTAGCTATATCTCACTGATCAACATAGTAGCAAATCCCTTTGATCAACCCAGTAGCTATATCTCACTGATCAAGCCAGTAGCTATATAGCTATATCCCTTTGATCAACCCAGTAGCTATATCTCACTGATCAACCCAGTAGCTATGTAACTATACCCCTCTGATCAACCCAGTAGCTATATCTCACTGATCAACCAAGTAGCTATATCCCACTGATCAACCCAGTAGCTATATAGCTATATCCTCAGATCAACCCAGTAGCTATATAGCTTTATCCCTTTGATCAACCAAGTAGCTATATCTCACTGATCAAGCCAGTAGCTATATTCCAAGGATCAACCCAGTAGCTATGTAACTATACCCCTCTGATCAACCCAGTAGCTATATCTCACTGATCAACCCAGTAGCTATATAGCTATATCCCTCTGATCAACCCAGTAGCTATATCTCACTGATCAAGCCAGTTGCTATATTCCAAGGATCAACCCAGTAGCTATGTAACTATACCCCTCTGATCAACCCAGTAGCTATATCTCACTGATCAACCCAGTAGCTATATCCCACTGATCAACCCAGTAGCTATATAGCTATATCCTCTGATCAACCCAGTAGCTATATAGCTTTATCCCTTTGATCAACCCAGTAGCTCTATCCCTCTGATCAACCCATTAAGTCACTTTAACGAACCCCCTACTAACCAACCCCAGGTCCAGTCCCCTCAGCGTTTTCCTTTGGGTGCTCAAGTTTATCACAGACAAATTAACTCAATGCCTCACAGATAAAAGAAATCATCATTTTTCCCAAAATGGTTTAGAGTTATGTCCCTTCCCCATGGTGATTTGGGCCTGTTTTCTGATATAATCTGGTCTGATTGTACACTGAGTTCCATGTGGTCCGGAGGCTGCATTATCATCTTGGTGCTAATCAAATTACTTGGCATGATTTAGATGGTATGATGAGCAATTTGAATGGATCAATTTAGCCAGGAATATTTCAGTTTGCAAGATATGATAATGCATGACAGTGTAGTTTTCCTTTCGTTTATGACTGAATGGCACAAACTAGTTGACATGATCACATTAGTGTCATTTCATTGCAGATTAGTCAGAAATTGTGAAAAATGTGGTAAAAATGAATTTGTAATGAAACAATGATGAAATATTCTTTGTATTAGGGGATATCTTCTTGGTGAGTGGCGACATGATGACAGTAGTTACCAATTCTAATGTCGTACAAATAAGATTTTAGTACAAGTAGAAAGGAAGGTATTATGATGTTTCGTAGGTCTTCTATTTAAGTGGTCCAAGGTTAGATTCCCAAGTGTGCCCTGGTTATAGTGTACACTACGGTTTTGTTTGTTTGTTGTTTAATGCCACACTCAGCAATATTCCAGCTATATGACGGCAGACTGTAAATAAGTAAATCAAGTTTGGACCAGACAATCCAGCGACTGACTTCATGCGTACCGATCCATGCAATACGAGACATGCATTAACCAAGTCAGCGAGCCTGACCACCCAATCCAGTTATTCGCCTCTTACGAAAAGCATAGTCGCCTACCACACCTGCACTAATATGTTACCTGAATCTGGTAATCCAGCCTTTGAAGTTCACGCTAGTTCACAAGCCTGTGACGACTGGACTGTGCTGGGGACAAGTGAAAAACCCAATGGTGGTACTCATCATTTACTCTAGTATTTGAGGTCTATGATTCTGAACCAGTTCTCAATGCTTCAATTTTGCTACAAATTGGAACTGAATAGAAAATGTAAACAGTTTTGTCTCTTTCAAGCAGGATGAGCTACAAACTCAGGGCCCAGAGAAATAAGGTTTACACTAGCCCACTTGACTCAAACCCCCCCACATTTTCTAAAACAGTTCACATGTCTAGGACCTGCTGTTGAGCCTTGACAGACTGATGTGTCAGTAACATTCCTTACTAGTGGTACATCTACTTCATGTTTACACACAATGCAATTTAATGTTTGGTGTTAGTTTGTATCAGTGATAATGTGTTGTTATTACTTCTGTAATTCAGCCTCTTTCTTCTGTTTCAGTCAAGAAAACTATGTGGCCATTGATGGAGGTAAGTTCACATGTGTAGTTTTAGTTTGTATAATTCTGTATTATTTTGTCAAATAATAGTCTTCAAGTTGTTGCTTTGCTCTGAGAATGACCCAGTGTACACAACTGTACCAAAACAAGAGCCAACAGCGACAGTCGTATCAATTATACATACATATGGCTGTGAGTGTATGAGGCATGTAGGAAGACAATCAAATACCAGCTGCTCAGCTAAGGAAGCTCTCTGAATCTGAATTAGGCCAAATCAGTTTTATTGTTCGGTTATGATTTTCTTGTCCAATACGCCAAGATACAACCCAGTAAACACTTGTAGGGTCCTGAGTCTACCTTGTTATGCAGTCAACATAACACACCTCAAATCATCACAGATAGTCTGTCATACAGACCCTGAAACAAATATATCCAATACAGCCCATGCAAGTCTGTAATGTTTTGCAATTCTAGATTACTGCAGTCTGAAAATGAAGAAAGTCTCTGGGCTTGTTTTTATTATATTTTATAAGTATTATTTAACGACTGTATTGTTTCCTGTAAAATATGTTCATTTCAGAGACTAGATGTTAGTCTACATCACAGACCGTCCCTTTAGCTGGTTCTTACTGTTGTGAACACAGGTCATTCTCAGCCTAAGACTTGTCTGCTTTGTTTCTGTTTGAACAATATATATTGTTATACATCTGTTTTCCTGTTGTAAAATTGGTCTGATGACTATAATCCTTGCAGTGTTTCTGCTATTTGAATTGGTAATTTTAGGACTTTAAGCCTTGTAAAAGTTTGCTAAACAATGTAAATTTCTTTACACGAGGATCTATTGTGTTTCTGCACTTTGATACACGTCCTCCACTCATCGGCAATCAGTCTCCTGCACAGCACATGCAGTCAGTACCTACATGCTGTCATCATTGTCATTTCCTTCATGCTGCCATGCTAATCATTGTCATGCTAGCTCATGTGTCACTTCCTTCATGTTGTCAGTCATTGTCATGCCAGCTCATTTCCTTCATGCTGCCATACTAATCATCGTCATGCTAGCTCATGTGCCACTTCCTTCATGCTGTCAGACATTGTCATGCCAGCTCATTTGGTATCTGCCTTCATGCTGCCATGCTAATCATTGTCATGCTACCTCATGTGCCACTTCCTTCATGTTGTCAGTCATTGTCATGCCAGCTCATTTCCTTCATGCTGCCATGCTAATCGTCGTCATGCTAGCTCATGTGTCACTTCCTTCATGCTGTCAGACATTGTCATGCCAGCTCATTTCTTTCATGCTGCCATGCTAATCATCGTCATGCTAGCTCATGTGTCACTTCCTTCATGCTGTCAGACATTGTCATGCCAGCTCATTTCTTTCATGCTGCCATGCTAATCATCGTCATGCTAGCTCATGTGTCACTTCCTTCATGCTGTCAGTCATTGTCATGCCAGCTCATTTCCTTCATGCTGCCATGCTAATCATTGTCATGCTAGCTCATGTGTCACTTCCTTCATGCTGTCAGTCATTGTCATGCCAGCTCATTTGGTATCTGCCTTCATGCTGCCATACTAATCTTTGTCATGCTAGCTCATGCAGTCACTACCTTAATACAGTCAGTCCTTGTCATGACCTCTTATGCAGCGTTTCCCACTGTCAGTCAGTCATTGTCATTTTAGCCTATTTTCCTCCTTCATACAGTCAGAGTCAGCCATTGTCATGTCAGCTATGTGTGTACACTCATCAACCAAAGAATTATCCCCGTTTTGCATGCTTGAAGAAAGTTCTGCGAAGTAGGTCTAGTACTTAAATGGAGAACTTGTTTTTGACATGTGGTCGTACTCCAGTGATATAGTAGGTTGCTTATCCAATGGTTTACCTGTTCCAGATTTGATCAGAAAGAGCAGGCAGATGTGGTACATCTTTGTCTTACCGATAATTGGTTAAAACCCCATTCCCTCACTCACTCCATCACCAAGAGTAAATGGTCTTGAATGGTTTTATTAGCCAAAATCAGGCCAGTAATAATTCGTATCAGGTATTTCGCATGGTGTCACACCAACACGCTCACAGCCATTTCTCAGTCATCATTAAAAAAGGAATCATAAATTTTCTGGAACAAATTCAGCTACTAATTCAGTCTTGATGTGTTATGGATCTGTCCAAGTGGAGTCATTATTCCTGGGATTATTCTGATCAACTTCCCCTTTATGTATTGACCAACTTGAGCAGTTTTGTAAGAAGAAACAGGAAAAAAGTAAGAAAAATGTGTTTAGGCAGAGATGTATTGTTCAGAAACGGTGACGGAATTGATCACATAGGCTCAGCTCGGATGAAGCGCTCGGATCTCGGTGACTCATGACACTGTGATCGGTTTGAATTCGGAGGAACTTTTTAACCAATACAAATAAATTGAACAAGCAGAATAATTCCCTTTTGGGTTATTTGGAGCAGTGATTTGGAAGTCTTAAACTCTTGCCCACCTCTTTGACAGGGAGTAGTAAATTTAGTTCTTGATAATTTCGGTGTCATTTGTAGATTGGAAATATTGATGTCTTAAATTGGGGGGTTAATGTGTACTTAACCCTGCGCATGACCACACATGTAGAAGGTGTTCCTCCATTACAATAACTTCCTGAAGGACATGCATGCCTATAAACTGTCAATAATGCAAGAATATTTTTTAACCTCTGTTTCCACAAAGATCAACAAAATAATATTTATTGTAATGTTTCTTGATGTATCTTTGACATGAAGGGAAATCAAGTCACGACTATTTTGATACAAAGGTCAATATAAAATAAGCAGTGCTACGGTAGACTGACATTTATTCCCGGAAAGATTGTATCCTAATTGTACAAAATATTAAGTAAACTCCAATTGGAGCCAAGAACGATGCTTGATAGACTAACATATAGTCTATGGAATCATTCATTACACAATACATTTCTCGCCTCTAAAATTAAAACAATTATTTTTCTGCTGATTTCATTTGTGGAATAGTGTTGGCTAGAGCTTGCTAGACTTGTTTTTGTATGTATATCGAGATTGGTTTTGATTTTTACAAAATAAATATATTCCATACTCATGGTGCAGGGCTAAATGCTTAATTTAAAGCTGATACAGTCCAGACTTGCCAAATGATTCTCGACTTGAGTTGAATTCCTTTCTAACTTTATCCTCTCAGGTCTGGGCGACAGACTAGTATGATATCTGATGTTGTTACATACATGGCCTGTCATGACCACCAGGGGTACTCTGTCATAAGCTAAAGCAGCAGCATCAGTTGCCCTGTATGCAGTCCTGAATTGATCCATGTGTCCTACCTCAAACCTTCACTCTGATACGGAGCCATAAACATATTGCCACGCCATGCTTTTCAGGCCCATTGATTCCATCTGACTCTTGCCACACTGCTCATGTTGTCATTTGTATCTTGAAGCATCAGATCAATCAGCAGCCATGCTCTCACTGTATTCCCAACCTGTATGCACTCCCTTCAATTGCATGTCCATAATGTTCATATCCACCACTCGCCCCATCCACTCTCACTTACCCGCCACTACTCACATACCCATCAGCTCTCACTTCAGCCATTCCACCCATCATGTTTCAATCCTTGTTGGCACATACCCGTCCTTGCTCCCTTCAACCATCCTCCCCATCCAATGCATGCAGACTGCCCATCCATGTTCCCATCCTTCTTGGCCTTTAGACCTTCCATCGCATGAAGCCTGCCCTTACAGCGTGATAACTCCCATATACAACACTGTGGAGATATTCATATATAAACTGTAGCTGCTTTGTGTGTTGTCATAGCTACTAGACTTCCTTGTATGTTTATCCTACAGGTGTATGTTGTCTGTTTTCTCGAAAAATCACCAGGCCAGGTATTTTTATATTTTTCTTGCACTTTTGTTTGGCATCCTTTTATGACATATGTACAATGTACCACTACTTGAATACTATTTCCTGCTAACAATGAAGCATCTGTTGATTAACCCCAATCTTTGACTCATGTTCAGATTTGTACTAACACCCGCCTTGCATATATTCACACACAAATCCTCTTTATGTGCAATAAAAGCTTGTGTTTTTATTACTTGTTTTAGAGATTTGAGAGGCCATTACGACAAGATGATTAAGCAAATCAATTATTTGTTTCATTTTCCACTTATTTTCTTGGACCTAAATTTCTTTTGGGGAATTAGGTGGAATTATTGTTGTAGAGCATATTCTGCAAAGAGCAGTTTTATCCTAAAGACAAAGACAAACCAGTCTACTGTTCTGAGTAGTGTTAGATATAAATGAAAGTGCGAGGATTTGGTGTGTATGGATATATGCAAGAACATGCTCCCCAGCCTAGTTTTGTTTTCACTAATTTTTCCTTCCAATTGGTTGGCTACTGTGGAGCTTCCCCAGGGTGGTAATGAGTGGTTATAAAATCCTAACATCCTACTTGTCACAACAAAGTTTGCATTATAACATAATTACACACTGTTCCAAATATCTTGAGATGAATGTGTAATATATACATTGATACAGGCAAGATCTTTTGTAATAATTGTGTGTGATGACTGAGGAGTAATATGACATTGATAAATCTATTTAAATGCTCGTAGAATGCTCAATAGAATGACTACAAACATTCTCAAAACACTGTCAGTGTCAGGAATATAATTTGATAAGAAAGAGAGGTTTCTAAATGTTTATCAAGTTCCCCCTGCATGCCTGTGCCAAGTTTTTGACATATAAATTATTGAGAATGCTTCATTGGGTTACCTTGTCTCCTAACTTAAAATCAATAGCTTTTTAACACAAGAAGCAAATGCTGTAGTCTGTGTATGGCTGAAGTTCTGATGTTGCAGAAAACAAAGCTTTTTGCCTAGCCCTATCATATATCCTGTGCTACGAGCTTAAGTATCTGACTGCTACAATTAGTGATTTAAAGATTTACCATCATCAAGATTTAATGATTTTAAGTGCCTTAAGTGGAAAAGTATTCTCCATATCTCAGAGCTTAATGCACATTAGAAAACCTTGGTTTGTGAAATGGACAATTTCTTCTCGTATGGCAATACCATGTCAGACTAGAACCTGATAGATGTTTTTTTAGTTGTGTTTTGTTTTGGTATAAATTTAATAATATCTTAATAACTCTATCAATATGGTATTACTTTCAATCATTGTTAAGCCAATTATTATGGAGAAGATAAATGCTTATATTGGGGAGATGGGGAGAGTTGGGTAGCCCATTGAATAAACCTTGGACGTCAAGGTCCTGGTTTGATTCCAGACGTGGGTGCAGTGTGAAGCCCATTTTTGATGTCCCCACCATATTGTTAGAGTAGTGCTATGAGGGGTGTATAACTCACTCACTCACTTTCTGAGATGGGACGTGTCACCTGTAACTGCTGTTGGTTACAGCCATTGACATACACAAACACAGCGTATATCATCCACAGATGCTCTAACATGTCTTTGTTACCTATTGGTTACAGCCATTGACATACACAAACACAGCGTATATCATCCACAGAAGCTCTAACATGTCACTGTTACCTATTGGTTACAGCTATTATTGCACACATATTGTATACACTGTCCATGGAAGCTCTAACATGTCACTGTGATCTATTGGTTACAGCTTTTATTGCTCACATATTGTATACACTGTCAATGGAAGCTCTAACATGTCACTGTGATCTATTGGTTACAGCTATTATTGCACACATATTGTATACACTGTCAATGGAAGCTCTAACATGTCACTGTTACCTATTGGTTACAGCTATTATTGCGCACATATTGTATACACTGTCCATGGAAGCTCTAACATGTCACTGTGATCTATCAATTAAAGACATTATGGCACACACTGTGGAAGTTACATCCATGTAAGCTCTTAACACATAACTAACAGTAACAGAACTATCTTGTTGAATTAATTTTTTTTTAAATATTTCACTTCATAATGTGTTAATAGGGCATTAAATGTCATAACTAGTTCAGATATATTTTTCCGAGTAAGCAAATTGGCTTGAAGGTGACAGACATGAGTAGCCTCCCTTTGGTTTCTGAAGTGCTCGTAGGCAGTACATGAGTTATGCAACAGAATAGGATTGTTTAGATGGGTGAATCTTGTACTTTCAGATGTACGGGACACTGTGCTGTCGGAGGGCAAGAAATCATCCTCTTTGGGCAAATTTTTACGAAATATTGGGATACGTCGGTCAGGAAGAAAGAACTCGTACAAACAACATTCAGGTAAGGCTGAATGCCAGTTAACTGTATATAACAAAGTTAGGTCAGGTGTTTGTTAAAACTGTCTAATAACTGTCAAGGTTACTGAGTAAATACTTTTCACTTTAAAACCTGTCTGTGTTTACACAGTTTTGCTTATAAAGATCTATGACATGAAAACAGAGTGAGCTAAATATTTCTGATGTTATAATGCACTTATGAATTTTTCTAGTCTAGGACTACAGCAGACTTTTGTCAATTTTGAGACCTTGAAGAAAATATGGTGGTGCTGTAAATGGGAGAAAGCAATGGTAGCTTGAGTTGTTTCTAGCTTTGAAGTAATATTTGTGATGTGCAGCATGGGGAAGCCTGGGCAAAGAGGTCGTCCAAGATGGGGCTATGTTTGATCACACTACAGCACAGGGTTGTTTACATGTCTCTGTGACGTTTGATAACATGCAGCTACATAAATATCAAAACAATGATAGTGTTAGTGTCACCTTATCATTAAGCGACCGCCTCCGTGGTCTTGTGGTAGAGCGTCCGCCCGGAGAGCCGGTTTGATCCCCGTCCGCGTCATACAAAAAGACGTTAAAAGATTGTACTTGTTGTAACCCTGTCTGGCGCTCGGCATTAAGGGGCTAAAACAAGGACTGGTCGGCTCGGAGTCAGTATACTGTGTCTGAGTTGGGTATTCATGTTAAACTGCGGCATGGTATCTCAGTGAGCTAGCACTATAAATTGGCATCAGTCCGGACTAGTACAAGCAGCCACACACACACATACACGTGCATGCACGTCGCTATATAAGTGCAATAATCTTGGACGCGATGTTAAACCCAATTTCACCTCACCTCACCTTGTCATTAAGCTGTACTGCACCTCTCCCTGAAGGTTACTCGTTATCATTTTGAAAAAGGTTTTTCTGAGAATATTATGTCAATATGAGAATTTCTTTTGAAGTGGTTGGGGCCTTTCCAGTTTCCTTTATTGTGTTATGGAGGAACTTACTGTTTCGCAAAATCAATATGCTGAACATAAACTTACGATTTGACTTAGTGTTAGCTTATTTCAAAAATATTTTTGATAGTATTGTTTTAATTCACATACATTTCAAGATTTTTTAATTAAAGGGTAATTAAGCACATATCTTTATGATCAACAAACTTTATATCAAAGTAGAATACTGAAATTTATGAACTTTGCATTGATCTTGTTCTGTAATTTAGCTCAAATCAACAATAACAATATTTTCATTTTATTTTGTGGCTTGTCATTTTAAAACAAGGGGTAAAGTTAATCTGGCCTGATTTGGAATGGAAAATAATTTGCTATGTTGACAGTGGAATGTTTGTAATGGAAGCTGTGGGTTGCAGGGAGCGGGACCTAGTGGGAAGCACACCACGTGGTGGGGGTGGCAGAGTGAGTGAGGGACTTGTGTTGTCAGGAAATAGTCCAGCCAATGTGGCTCTGGGGGTTAAATAAGAAGCCTGGATAGTATGACCTCCTTTTGACTGACATTTAGTCCCAGAAAGAAGTCCCAGAAATCATTCCATCATCATCCATAGTGACTGCAGACTGACCTGTGGTATTTCCGCCATGACCGCTCCTTATATGGTAGTTGCCTCATGCATGAACACAATCATGATAAGTGGTCCAGTGTAGAACCGTGTCTGGCAGCTCACCTTCACAGGACTGGGATTTGGGGCAACTACGGGGGTCGTAAGAGCGACTCAATGGATCAGTGGTTAGGCTCGGTGACTTACTTGATAATATTTCATCATACCCAAGTGGAGTGGATCGTGCTCACAATATCAATCGCTGGATTTTTGGGCCCTGACTTGATGTATAGCTGTAATGTTTTTGAGTGTGGTGTGGAACAACAAACAAACAAATACTGGACTGATGCATGCTCTACAGTATACACTGGTACTAGGATGCAACTCCATCACTGTAGACCCCTATTGCAATGCTTGGTAACATGATGATAAAAAGTGTGAGGTTCGGTCATACAACAAATGTTCACAGTCATGTCAGGAGGATTTACTCATATATCAAGCCAGCAGGTGCTTGTCCCACTTCAATATTAGTTCTACGCCATGACTGTGGAATTAATGTATATTTGAATTGAAGTGTTTTTTATAAAAAGCCTAGGCAAGTCTAGATCACACCAAGTCTAGTTTCTATGATTATTGAAACAGCAGTTTTCTTTTGAAAAAAATAAATGACTCTTTTTTAATTAAATGTTTTCATTGACTATTGTGTATGGAAATAGTAAGAAATATCCTAATCCAAGGTTGAGTAGAATATTTATAAGACAGCTGCCATAAAATCCCAGGCTGATGGCTGGACATGAAGCTGGGCAAGCCAACCATGACGCCCGCCAACACTCACCAGATGGTTTAATGGAGAAACAAGGCATATGATGTGTTATTTACCATTCCAGGCGACCTGCTGGCCTCCGATATCACGATGAGCGATGAAGACCGTATAGCGCTGATGGTGATGGTGAAGGAGGGCAAGATCTCCACGGAAACAGCTTTAGAGGTGGTGAGTTGTTATCTGCCTGTATATTCGCAGCTTTATTTGCTTCCTTGTGGTATTGTTATTGTTAGAATCATACTATGATGTGCAGAAACATCAGTGCTAGTGTAGTCTTTTTTTCTGTGAAGTGATTTTGTGGTCTTACTGTTCACCCAGCTGAGTACTCTATCCTGGGCTTGAGTCTGTACGTCGTGGCAATGTCAGCTTCTAGAATAGCCATTTCTGTTGGGTACTTCTTCACACTATGTGTTGGGAAAAAAGCAAACAAAAGCTGGTTTTATCATCGTGGGATGTGAAGTACTGCAAATGAATGGGGCATCTAAGGACTTGCAAGATGTTCTTGTCCTTGTTCAATGAGAATGGCGTGGTTTACAGCAATACGTTAACCTGTTCTGAAAATTTAAGTTGCTGTCAAGAACCACTTCATTTGATCACAAGTATGATACAACAGTAACCCCAATGCCTTTTCATTGTGAAGCTGACATATTGGATTAACTCCGTCTATCATCCTTTGTGTCCCTTCACCATGTAATGAACTAGATCAACAAAGTGGCATTTGGGATTAATCACTTCTCTGACTAACGACCATCTTCATGCTGCTCGCTGCTTTAATATGCTTCTGCAACATAACCTTTGATATAACAGTCATATATTGGACATGGTAGTGGGACGTTGATGTCATTTACTGGACACGGTCCTTGGACTTGGTTGGTTCTATGGAAGGACGGAAGGATGGGTCCCATGTGCTGTTCAGTCCCAAAGTGATGCTATCATCATGATGCTGTTTTTGTGAATTAACTGGTAATAATAACACTGGATATGGGATGTTGAAAGTGTTGACACTAACGACATAGAGTGTACTGGATGTTGACACTTAGGACATAGAGCGTACTGGATGTTGACCAAAGGACATAGAGTATACTGGATGTTGACCAAAGGACATAGAGTGTACTGGATGTTGACCAAAGGACATATAGTGTACTGGATGTTGACCAAAGGACATAGAGTGTACTGGATGTTGACCAAAGGACATAGAGTGTACTGGATGTTGACAGTAAGGACATAGAGTGTACTGGATGTTGACATTAAGGACATGGAGTGTACTGGATGTTGACAGTAAGGACATGGAGTGTACTGGATGTTTACAGTAAGGACATAGAGTGTACTGGATGTTGACCTAAGGACATAGAGTGTACCGGATGTTGACACTTAGGACATAGAGTGTACTGGATGTTGACACTAAGGACATAGAGTGTACTGGATGTTGACACTAAGGACATAGAGTATACTGGATGTTGACACTAAGGACATAGAGTGTACGGGATGTTGACCTAAGGACATAGAGTGTACTGGATGTTGACACTAAGGACATAGAGTATACTGGATGTTGACACTAAGGACATAAAGTGTACTGGATGTTGACACTAAGGACATAGAGTATACTGGATGTTGACACTAAGGACATAGAGTGTACTGGATGTTGACCAAAGGACATAGAGTGTACTGGATGTTGACACTAAGGACATAGAGTATACTGGATGTTGACACTAAGGACATGGAGTGTACTGGATGTTGACAGTAAGGACATAGAGTGTACTGGATGTTGACACTAACGACATAGAGTATACTGGATGTTGACAGTAAGGACATAGAGTATACTGGATGTTGACAGTAAGGACATAGAGTATACTGGATGTTGACACTAAGGACATAGAGTGTACTGGATGTTGACACTAAGGACATAGAGTATACTGGATGTTGACACTATGACATAGAGTGTACTGGATGTTGACAGTAAGGACATAGAGTGTACTGGATGTTGACACTAACGACATAGAGTATACTAGATGTTGACAGTAAGGACATAGAGTATACTGGATGTTGACACTAACGACATAGAGTATACTGGATGTTGACTGTAAGGACATGGAGTGTACTGGATGTTGACAGTAAGGACATAGAGTGTACTGGATGTTGACACTTAGGACATAGAGTGTACCTGATGTTGACAGTAAGGACATAGAGTGTACTGGATGTTGACACTAAGGACATAGAGTATACTGGATGTTGACACTAAGGACATGGAGTGTACTGGATGTTGACAGTAAGGACATAGAGCGTACTGGATGTTGACACTAAGGACATAGAGCGTACTGGATGTTGACACTAACGACATAGAGTATACTAGATGTTGACGGTAAGGACATAGAGTATACTGGATGTTGACACTAACGACATAGAGTATACTGGATGTTGACACTAAGGACATAGAGTATACTGGATGTTGACAGTAAGGACATGGAGTGTACTGGATGTTGACAGTAAGGACATAGAGTGTACTGGATGTTGACAGTAAGGACATGGAGTGTACTGGATGTTGACAGTAAGGACATAGAGTATACTGGATGTTGACAGTAAGGACATAGAGTGTACTGGATGTTGACAGTAAGGACATAGAGCGTACTGGATGTTGACAGTAAGGACATAGAGTATACTGGATGTTGACACTAAGGACATGGAGTGTACTGGATGTTGACAGTAAGGACATAGAGTGTACTGGATGTTGACAGTAAGGACATGGAGTGTACTGGATGTTGAAAGTGATGACACTAAGGACATGAAGTGTACTGGATGTTGAAAGTGATGACACTAAGGACATGAAGTGTACGAACTGTCGTGGGATTTTTAGTGTTAATGCATAAACACATAGTCCAAATGATGTGACTTGTGCTATTTCTATGACTAATGCTATACAGGGCATAGTTGTTTTGTTCCATCCTTGAAACATCTTGATGACTTTGGTATTGTAGGGACCTTACGAATAGTGCATAAGATACAATAAGATAGCTTGTACCCAGTTGTCTGCCAGGGCAGACCTAAAACATGTAGTGTTGCGAAGTACTTTGAAGACAGAATATGCCCTAGATATGAAGGAGGATTCAGACGATATATGGATCATATGGACGAACAAGATGCTGAGTTATGTACTAGTTTCATGGATTTTTTAATGCTCAGTTTTTTATATTCATGTGTCTGTCTACACTTCGCTCGTCAAATATTTTTGAAGCGTGATTAATGTATGCCTTATTATTTCAACAGCTGTCTTTAAGTGAGCTATTTAAAACTATTTCTAGACAAGTATTGGCATTTTTGTCTGAAAAAATATGATTTGAATCCTTGTGCCCATCAGTGATGACCTAAGGCAATATTTCACACTGATCAATGCCACTTTGTATTTGAGCAGGGAGTATGTGTGGTAGGGCTTATCCCATGGCGCGACAGGGATTACGTTCAAGAATCAAAACTGATAAATGCCCTTTTACATGAGAAATTAACATCAAAGCAAGCAGAGGGGATATTTCAGATTTGGAGAGACAATAGAAGTTACTCAATCCAAGACATCACATTAGAGCTTCAGTTCAGTAGATTTACTCCTTACTCGCTCCTTTGTTCCATGCATAAAGACTGAGTTCAAGAAAAAATTCGAAGACAGCCTTGGTGTTTCTGATTGGCCAAATCAATGAGAGGTCTGGATTTTGTGGCAGTGTGAATTTTCATGGTTTCATGAAAGGTGGCAAATGTATTTATTCAGACGTATTGGTCCTCAAAAGCTACTTAATAACTGAATTCATGCTCCCCAGGGAAGACTGGTTGCCAGTGATGTTGGAATTACATTGATGATATGATTCCCAAATGTTTGCACAGAAAGTTGTTATATGCACTTCCGATGTTCATGCTCTGTGTGGAGCTGTCAGAAAATTAGCATGTGCTATTCTTGGAGCTAATGGATTATTGGATTTATATCTTATGTAAACTTTATCAGCAAAAATGATTTTTCACTATTAGCAGATTCAATAAATGCAGATGCAAGAACTTGCTTGGAAAAGTTGTTTTCAAATATTGGTAATGATTTTCCTGTTTCTCAAACGATTAATGGTATTTGTTTCACATTTAAGGATTGGGGTGGGTTGGGGTTGTTTTCACCATAGTTGGTGTATTTGAGGTTGCATGTTTTACAAATCCCTTCATTTGTTACATGCTGTATTACATAAATCATATCAAGTTTTAGATGGTTGCTGAATGTTCAGCATCTGGAAATATTATTAAAATTATTTTGTGCTAATGGACACTACTTTAAAGCCTTCAAGACAGACATTACAAATTCCCTTCAGATCTTTTCAGACAGTAGGTGCTTGCAGCCAATCAGTTTGCACCACTATTCCACCAACAGCAGCTTCACTTACCGTTTCCATCTGTGCTTGGCGCCAACGGTGTATGTGGGCAATGTCACTGTCAACGCCTAGGTGTTTGCCTACTCTGGTATTACATGTTTGTAGTCTCTGCTGTTCACACTGGGGTGACGTCTTGTATACAGCAGTTGACAGGGCAAGGTTCATCATTGACACTTTGTTGGTTACATGTCTACAAGAGCTGGTGTCAGGACTAGCCTTGCTCCAAGGCTGTATTGAACGATAGGTCCATGGATGTGTAGTAAGTTGTCTCTTATAGGGACAACTTCTTATTTACATAATCTAGAAATGATGATTTAACCTAATAATTATTGCCTTTGAGACTTGTGCAAGTCTAGTGTCAGGACCTGTAGAGGGAAATGGCGGTGCACTCAATTTAAATTTGTTTACATACAAGTTGACAGGTCAGGACTCCTCATACTGAGTGAGTGAGTGAGTTTTGATCTGTATTCCTGTTATATCACGGTATGTCAGCTTGATGTGGGAGGCAAGCCTGAAGAAGGTCTCTGATGTTTACCACTTTTGTGAAACCCAGGAGCATGGGTTGGTGCTGACAAACATAGAAACATAATTAGGGCGTACTGAGAGACTCCTCGAACAGCTTGCTCGTTCACAACTGCCAGTGCTGGTGCCAAGAGACATAGAGTCATGCAGTGGTTATCTGTTTCCATATTTTCATATTTCATAGATTCTGTGTGAATTGATGGATTATCCATTGCTGAGACATGAGATCACATGACAAAGGAAATATGGTTCATTATAAAGGTTGCTCTGTTTATCAACAGAAAGTGAACCGAGAATTGCTTTGTCTGGTTAGATGAGGAAGTAAGTAGGTGCACACGAGGGTTGATGACTCTGTCGCCAGGTGTAATATTATCTCTGATGGTTTCAACTAACCCTGTGTTTAAGGGCTGAATCTTGTTAACAATTACTTGACAGATACAGCTTTTACACATTATTGTACTTTCAGAACTACTTTGTAGTAACAATAATTGAACAACCCATGGAGAGAGAATGAAACATGGAATCAAGCCTTGTAACTCAATACACTCTTATCCATTACTGCCTACTTGCCTGAAACCCTATTCCTGCACCAGGACTGTGGAATATATTTATTTTATGAAAAACAAAACCAATGTTAGTCTTCTACACCCCCACCCCATTGTGCCTGTGTCTTCGCCTACACCCTCCCTTTGCCTTGCTGTCTTGCCTGTCTGTAACGTAACGCCAGACACGCCTACACCCTCCCTTTGCCTTGCCCTGTAAGCCCTACACCCCCTCTCTGGTGACTACAGAACACATGTGGAGCCCAGGTCTGTCAACATGAACATTAACCAGAAAGAAAGACATTTAGAAACATGTTTGTCATAGAAATGTTGTTATTTGTGAGGATTCCAGTGCTGCCACCAAGTGTTACTGATATAGTGAGCGACAGATCTAATAACAGACTACCAGCAGCTTTGAGCACTTAAACAAAAAACTTCCAGATGTCATTGCCATGCTTGTTGTCAACTTTCTTCAACGCCTACTCAAAGTTCAGCCCATGTCTGCTTGTTCAAATCTGACTTTCATTTTGTCTCTTGTGTCTGCCCACAACAGTATAGGCTTATCTGCTCTTCTTGACAAGCTCAATTTGAACACTTCCAGGCCATTTTGTAGCAATAGATATCCTGCCACTCAACTTCAGGCTCAAATGACTACAAATCCGTTTTTGTTTATCCTCAGCTTCTCGACCCTCAAGTCTCTAACCCTTTTTCATTCATATAATTTTCACGGCTTTTTTGCTTTCTACGCCCAATGGAATTTGTGTCGATGGATAATAGAGACTCTCTGGCGTTACGTTACAGCCAGCAGATCTCTGAACCATACACCCCAAACATCTGACACCCCCACCCCCTTTCAACCATTGATGGGGTCATACCGCCCACACGGCCAGCTGTGTGACCCCACTTCAACCCCACCCCAACAGGAAACAGACTAGTAACCCCACAAGATTATCATACAGCAACCAGTGCAAAACATTGATGGGACACACCACTTGCGCTCCACCCCCACAAGAAACAGACTAGTGACCCCACAAGATTATGGTACAGCAACCAGTGTAAAACATTGAAGGGACACTCCACTTGATCCCCACCCATACAGGCAGCTGTGACCCCCTCAAGATTGTCCCAACCAGCGTACCACCATGCAAGAGAGTTAGGACATTCTGAGTTGACCTCACACATGGCTTATATCGAGAATCTGAATTCTGTCAACACCCACATTATGTAACATTTAACAGGACTCTGGCTTACAGGAGATTTAATTTTGGTTGTAATCTGATTCTAGAAAGCTGTGGGTTGCCAGGCCTGGGATCCTAACACGGAAACCATGTGATGGTGACACACAAAAGTAGTCGCATGTCATGACTCACTGTGCAGACTTAGACACATAAACAACGCACATTCCATGGGGGGCATCGTGGCCTTGTCCTCTGAGGCACCGCCACTTGGTTCCCCCTATGGGGATTCTTTGCTGGAATTATCCCAAGCAGCCTTGCTCCATGAATGGTAAATCCAAGATTTATATAATCCTTAAATTAGGCATACTAGGATGCCAGTCTTTTATAGGGGTGAGGTGAAATTGGGTTTAATGTCACGTCCAAGATTATTGCACTTATATAGCAATGTGCATGTGTGTTTGTGTGGCTGCTTATACTAGTCCGGACTGATGCTGATTTATGGTGCTAGCTCACTGAGATACCATGCGGCAGTTTAACATGAATACCCCACTCAGACACAGTATACTGACTCCGAGCTGACCAGTCCTTGTTTTAGCCCCTTTATACCAAGCGCCAGACAGGGTAACAACAAGTACCATCTTTTGACGTCTTTTGGTATGTAGCGGCCGGGGCCGGCCGCTCTCCGGGCGGTAGCTCTACCACTAGACCACGGAGGCCGTCCCCTTTTAAAGGGACATCTTGTTCTTATTATTTATATGACCAAGGAATTATGATTTAAACTAATAATCAGTTCCTCAGAGACTTGTGAAAGTCTAATACTGGATATCAGAGGCAAATCAAAGGATCAGCTGGTCAGGCTCACAGACTTGGTTGATTAATTGTCATCGTAAGCCAATGTTGCTCACACCAATCACTGGATTGTCTGGTACTTGATCCAGTACAAGACACTGTCATATAGCTTGAACAACAAGCTTGGTACTTCAAGATATGTGCCATTGTAGCGCTAAGGTGATTGTAACTTCATACTTTAGCATAGACTTAAAACTTTCTTAGTGCTACAATCACTTTGTGGAACAGGCCCTAGTGGCTTTGGCTAAGTACCGACCATTGGATATTCTGGGAGGGGGGGTGGGGGGCCGGGATTTTGTATCAAGATTAGATATTTTTTAGGCTACAGCTACAAAACAAGATATTTTTTTTAACAATGTGTAGTTTTTTTGTGGCAGGCAATTCCTTAGTCCTTCAACAATCTGAATCATAGTTCATTTTTTTCAAGAATTTTTTCAATAAAAATCACACAAAAATTATGATAGTTAGAGCTGGCTAGACATGCTTTAATATACATCTGGATTGGTTTAATGAAATAGATATATTCCACAATCATGGTGAAGGACAGGCCATGGGTTTGAAACTGTCATTGGTATTATTGTGGCCCTTGGCGCGGCAACACCGTATGTGCACAACTTCACATCACACTCTTCCCAGAGTAAGTTGATGATGCCATGATATTTTCATCATTATTGGGGCACTGGAAAATTGTGTTGGGCGTAACAGTAGGTCATGAATTATTACAGATTTTTGGTTCACATATACATGTCTTTTGCATACAGGTTGTTTGACACACAGAATATATTGTCATTTCATCTTGTTCAAGGTGAAAAGATTTGAGGATGACAGAAGAGCTGATGAAGTGAAGGAGAACCGTCTGGTAGGTTGCCTAGTTACCATGGTGATTGGACACATATGCTAAGCCCCAAGTACCCCAGAGTTGACTTGGGCTGGTTTACACATTATGAACGGAAAAAGTTTGATTATTATTGTCATCATTGTTGAACAGACACAAAGCTATCTTAGCGCTACGACAATCATAAGTCTATGTATAAGTATGGGAGTTACAATCATCTTAATGCTATCGTCGCTTTGTGGAATGAGGCCCTGGGTAGTTCCAACTATCTCACTAATGGTCGTCACAGGCAGCCAGCCATACAGTGGGTATGAATGGCGAGAATGAAGTATGTTCCTGATGGTTCTGGCAGTAAGTCAATTTTTATTACCCACAAGGGAATTATTTTTACACATGGAAGTGTAAGTAGCTACTGATTATATGCATAAAATCCAGCATACAAACAAAGATCTATAGAAAAGGTACATTATTTAACAATCATTTAAGAGAGGGATACTTGTTGAGAAAAAAGATCTGAGAGCTCTACTTGTCTTAGAAATGTAGCATTAAATATCATCATCCAGAGTGAAGTTGTGCATACTCTTTGTGTAAAGGGGTGGTCGGGTAGCCTAGTGGTTAAAGCGTTCGCTTGTCACGCCGAAGACCCGGGTTCAAATCCTGACATGGGTACAATGTGTGAAGCCCATTTCTTGTGTGCCCTGCCGTGATATTGCTGGAATATTACTAAAAGGGGCGTAAAACCATACTCACTCACTCACTTTGTGTAAAATGTGATTGGGGACCGCTAATTTTGTTTGACTGTTCTTGTATGAAACAACTAAACTGTCAAAAGATACTCCAGCTATTTTACTAGCTAAATAAAACAATTTTGTCCAAGTGTGATATATTCCACACTAAAAGATGCCCATATGGCTGGAACACTGAATGGAAAGCTTTAGAACACTTTAAACAAACAAGTGATCAGAAATGACACAATATATATTTTTTATCAGGAATAAGAGATTTTAGTTTTGCATAAAATTTAATCTGTATTGACATTTCTTGAAGACGGCGTCAATATGGACTATCCCCCACTTCTCCTCTTTAGGTAGAGTCACAAACATACTACTCCAAACAAGTCAAGGAACAACCCCAACTGGAAGACTGTGTGTTGCAGTACCCACCAGCCATGACAGATTAACTGTAGTTATGCATAAAGAGTGTTCTTAACTTCTTTTGAGCAGTGGGGGCACGGGTGGCCCAGTCATCTAAGGCGCCGCGATTCGCTGTGCAGAGTTGCGTCCCTTAGGCATGCCAGAAACCTATGATTGTGGGTTCGAATCCCGGTTCGCCCCGATTATGTTTCTAGGTTTGTCAGCACCATACCCGTGCTTGTTGGTTTCACCGAAGTGGTAAACGTCTGAGACCTGCATCACTTCGGGCTTTCCTCCCACATTAAGCTGACACGCCGTGATATAACAGGAATACTTTTAAAAGTGGCGTTAAACCCAACTCACTCACTCACTCACTCTTTTGAGCAGTATACATCAACTCGATCAGAAACCATTGTGATCCAAATTTTGAGTTGAATAACCATTTTCTATAATTTACCATTTTTATTAGGTTTCTTTCAGTATTAATCTAGTGGCAGAGAGGCTCATTGTAGAAGCTATGTAATAAAATGGCCTTTGATTGGCATTGGAAGTTGAATGTGTACATTGTATGCTATTACAGTATCAGATTAGGGAGTGACATGAAGAGATGAAACTGTTCCCTATCAGATTTGTAACATTGGTGATTATTTTAGACTGTTTGAAATAAAATGAGAAGAGTTGAAAATTTGAGTCGCTGACAATTTCAACTGTCAGGGCTGCTTGTGTGAGTCATGATAGCTTTAATCAGGTAGTTCTGGATTATTCTCGACTTTATTAAATGTACGTTCAATCATGTTCCCTGTGTTGATTCTTGAGTCATCCATTGATCATAGGTTTAAAGATGATCTGCCAGGAATACTGGTGTAACCAGCCTACCGGGATCAGGTGTCGGTTCACGCTGCCTGTTGCTCATGCAACAACCAAACACTGTTGTCAAGGGAATGTCCTCTCGCAACCAAAACTGTCAATTATTGCAGGAGACGTGCAGATCAAACATTTCTAATTCCATCTCATTACTCAATGTAAATGGTAGCCATCTCTATGTTATTCATGCTCCAAATCAGGAAGGCTCTGTGTAGAAAGCCATTACAAGCTATTTCACTTGCCACTCACCTTAGGGAGGGCTGTATTTTTTAGTCATAATGATCAGTTGTCAAGGAAGTATCACAATCAATTTATTATGAATGATTTTGCTGGTTGGTCACTGAGTGAGTTGTTAGGAAAGTGTTGTGGTGAATATGATAGAGCCAATTTAACCTGAATGCCACGGACTTGAAACGATAATATTATTCCAAGGGTCCGAAGGTTAGCGTATTCTCCTCCGGGAATTCCATTCAGTTTTATCTTGATTCGTTGTGAGATTCTGAACTAGATGACAAGTCCCTGTTTGTTTTTGCTAGCCATTATTGGTTTAATTCAGTAATATCTCAGCTGTCAGATTCTATCAACATTTATCCAAAGTTTCCTTTGATCAGAATTTTCGTAATTTTTCTGAATTGATGCAATTGAAGACTTCTTCTTCCTACAGAAAATTGTTCCTATTGGGAGGTGTGAGACACTTTCATTGATTAACTCAAACTTTATTTAATTCAAGATTCAAGTTAAATATGACATTCTTCGCTGCACAGACAGAGACTTGGCTTTCACACAAGGTCAATAAAATACACATTTATTCAAGAACTTAGAATTAGATTAAGTGAAATGAAAATTGGAAACAATTTAAGATGAACATTTCTCTAAGGGTAGTCCAATGTTTGCTTTGGCTGGTTTGATGTAGTTGGAATGTAAAAAGTAATTTTTTGTGACTATAGATACCAGTGGTTGTCACCACTAAGATTAAAGCTGCCAGTCCACACCTCAATTCTGACTAGTGGTTTATGTAACTTAACTAGATTTTGGGGGAAAACAAGTAGACAGATTTCCACGAGTCTTGGAACGACTAAGTTATTTGTCATAACCCTACATGTAAGAAAAGTATGAGATGTCTCTTGAAGACATGTAAGGCTGCCAAGATTAATATGAAGTTGGGGATGCCATGTTTGCCAAAAGATAATTAACCGCCATGTTTGATGAAGTCTGTGTTAAGGCATTGGTTAATTCTAGTGGTATGATTGACAAAAGTCAGGTTAGAGCATTGGTTAATTCTAGTGGTATGATTGACAAAAGTCAGGTTAAAGCATTGGTTAATTCTAGTGGTATGATTGACAAAAGTCAGGTTAAAGCATTGGTTAATTCTAGTGGTATGATTGACAAAAGTCAGGTTAAAGCATTGGTTAATTCTAGTGGTATGATTGACAAAAGTCAGGTTAGAGCATTGGTTAATTCTAGTGGTATGATTGACAAAAGTCAGGTTAAGGCATTGGTTAATTTTAGTGGTATGATTGACAAAAGTCAGGTTAGAGCATTGGTTAATTCTAGTGGTATGATTGACAAAAGTCAGGTTAAGGCATTGGTTAATTCTAGTGGTATGATTGACAAACGTCAGGTTAGAGCATTGGTTAATTCTAGTGGTATGATTGACAAAAGTCAGGTTAAGGCATTGGTTAATTCTAGTGGTATGATTGACAAAAGTCAGGTTAAGGTATTGGTTAATTCTAGTGGTATGATTGACAAAAGTCAGGTTAAGGCATTGGTTAATTCTAGTGGTATGATTGACAAAAGTCAGGTTAAGGCATTGGTTAATTCTAGTGGTATGATTGACAAAAGTCAGGTTAAGGTATTGGTTAATTCTAGTGGTATGATTGACAAAAGTCAGGTTAAGGTATTGGTTAATTCTAGTGGTATGATTGACAAAAGTCAGGTTAAAGCATTGGTTAATTCTAGTGGTGTGATTGACATAGGTCTTTGTTAGAGCATGGCATAATTCTAGTGGTATGATTGACATAGGTCTGTGTTGGAGCATGGGAATATTCTAGCCCTATGATTGACATAGTATGTTTTGGAGCATTGGTTAATTCTAGTGATATGACTGACATAAGTCTGTGTTGGAGTATGGCATAATTCTAGTGATATGACTGACATGAGTCTATGTTGGAGTATGGTATAATTCTAGTGATATGATTGATTTGTGAAACGGGGCCCTTATCAGGGCTATTAAACATATTCTGTTCCATATTAATCATATGACATACTAATCAAAAGAAATTAAGGCTAACCCGATTCATTCATATTACTATGTGCTGTAGTTAATCTGTCATGCTATGACATATTAACCATAGTAATATGAAAGAATTTGGTGGTCCTTAATTTCTTTTGATTAGTATATGATATGGATATGGATTCTTGCACATATTTACAAAACAACAACGTGAGAGTAGCATTGATTTGACAGGAAGTGGACTTAACCCTGTGTTGTCGATGTGGTGCTGTGACATCTGTCTGCTTTGTATGGGTTTCAGAACACACAAGGACAAATTGGGTGTGAACCTTGGTGTTAACCTGAGTGAAAGTTTGGTGAAGCATGATTTGAACCTTGTTGAACAGGGTGTTAATGTATTAATTGCTTGAATGATTTGTCTCTCTGTTCCCCTTGCAGTTTGAGTCACCAGCGTCCCGGAAAAGCGGGAAAGATAAGAAAAAGAAAGCAGGTGTTGGAGGAAAACCTACCAAATCACACTCGGCCGTGTATACAGGTATGTGAGATGTCACAGCCAGCAAGTCTTATCTCCCAATAGTCTTTGTGATTCTTCCTTTCAACAACATATTGGGAAAGCAGCATTGATACCCCTTATCCTTGGCTGTAAGGCCACCATATATTAGAACCATGTGAAGATCTGGGTTAGAATTGGCAACCAGTGCTTGTCGTCAGAGGTGACAAATGTGATCAGGATCAGGTTCTTCTACTTGGTTCATGTATGTCATTGTTAACCAGTTGTGTAGTTTGATGCTCATGATGTCATATAGTTGACAATTCTGTTAGTATTGAATTACTTACAGAAATCATGCTGGTCAGTTACCATTGATTCAGTTTTGTGAAAATATTCTGTTTGTTTCAGATGAAGCGCCAAAGTGCCATGTCTGCAAACATCTAATGCTCAACCAGGACTACGAACTGCCCCTTCCACCGCCACCTTCCGACGGCCAGCCGCTGTACGAGTGTTGCCGGCATCGACGCGTGCACAGTGTCGGGCATATTGACTTTCCACAGCATCTACATTCCCCACCGTTTGTGCGCGCATTCTCCTGTTCACCCACCCGCAACGCCACCCAGTCATCAGTGGTGAGTTCCCCGGGACCTGCTCATAGTAGACTCTACTCCCCCATACTGTCACAGGCACCCCGGATACCCACAGTTACCTCGCAGTCAGCTCTACCTCAGGGAGCGGAGAATCTCAAAGAAAGGCTCTCAGGAAAACCACAAATATTCCTTCACAAAACCCCGTCAAGGACATCTTTACTGTCCTCGGAGTCGGACCATTCAATGGAGTGTACGTCACATGCCCCACTGAAATCAGACGTTGTGACCACACGTAATGATGACATGAACTATTGTAGCACAAACTCTACTGTGTCCATGAGTTCCGATAACTCTCCTGCTCAAGGGAGGAAGAAAAGTGAAAATGCTGTTAAAGCTAAAGGTCATAGGGTAAGGATCTAGAATTACTCAACTGTTACATTTCTGTTTGCAGCAATGTTATTTTGTGACTTGCTGCACATAGCTGACCTAATACAGCTGCAGCAGGAATGGCCAACCATTTCCTGAAAAAAGTGTGTGAGGGATTGGGTTTGGTTTAACGCCTCTTCGAACAGTATTTCAGTTATATCACAGCGTGTCAGTTTGATTCAGGTCTCAGACATTTATCACTTTGCTGAAAACCACATGCGTATGGTACGGTGCTGACATATCTTGAAACAATCAGGGCAAACCAGGATTCGAATCTATGATCATAGGTTTCTGGAATGCCCAAGGGACACAACTCTGTACAGCAAATTACAGCGTCTTAAACAACTGGGCCAGCTTTGTCCCGATTGATCAGTTAACACAAAAGGCATGGATTGATGTTCACAGTTCAACAGTTTTCCAGAGAAGAATTTCTCCCAAGCACCCTTTATGTGTTGTGTGATTGAGTGAATATTGCTTAATGCTGAATCATCAGTCTTGCAGCTATTTGCAGTGAGCAGATTGTATGAGGCAATGGATGTTTCAGTTTCCCAGAGAAGATTTTCTCCCAAGCACCCTTTATGTGTTGTGTGAGTGAGTGAATATTGCTTAATGCTGAATCATCAATCTTGCAGCTATTCTCAGCGAGCAGGTTGTATGAGGCAATGGAGGTTGTGTGGTCACAACGGCTTTTGAATATGAATAGTCATTAATTGGAGCCACATTCCAGACTTAATTGCTTGGAAAGACTTCCGCCCGCATCCCCCCTCCAAATGTTATATATATTTACATATAGTGTGTTTCTTCCGACTATATATGTACTATATTTATACGGCGGAAGTCTTACCAGCTGCTCGACATATCCCTTGGTGAAGGTATCATTTTACTGACTGACATTAACCTTTTACAGAAAAACACTCATGATTGGTTTGTCTGCTCCTAGCTGACACTAGCATCAGGATAGAACTACAACAACACAATGAGAATACATTCACAAACCTGCTGCGAATGTTTGTCACAAATTACCATGGTGTCTCAGCTGCTGAGTCGATGCATGATAGGAAAACAACCTGATATGTAGCTACAGTGATTAGCAGGAGGCCTAGTGTCATCATATATCTGCTGCACGTGCAGCTCCATGTCATCACAGTTATCTCCCTTGGTTTACCTTGTGGCTTTTCAACTATATTCGATGCTAATATGACAGAGCTAGGACATGCTGAAGGACAATGGCTACTGTCAGACTTGTCCTCATATATGTATCCACATTTTGTTTTTGTCACATCCCCTAATTACCGATTGGTTTCTGACAGAAAATGAAAGTCAGGCGGTTTGCAGAAAAGCTGTCTGCTCTGGAATGGAAGCAATTTTGAAAAGATAGTTTCCTCTGTCATGTGATTAGCAACAGTCAGAATTGAGGGAGAACTTGTGGACCAAAATATGGACTATTCCATATGTCGAGTTCATGTGATAGCCCTATTGTCCCAGTACAATTACTGATGGACCAATGGTCTGAAATGATTATGAACCAATGTGTGCTTCCATGTCCATATACGTCCTTGCTACCTTTTGCCAGCAAATATAAAAACATGGCATATTGATATTTTCTGATGCTCATGTCTGACTGTTCAGGATTCACATCAGTGATCTGCCCAACTTGGCAGTCAAGCCTATTGAACAGCATGACATCACTTGTTAAAAATAAGGTAGACTTTCCCCTCAGTTATGAATGAGGCTGATGGCCCTGCAGATTTCTAGGCTTGCTTTTATTCATGAAATAAATTACAAAAACAGCTTTGATAATTGCTTTTCTATGTGAGCATTTTCCCGAGTTACATTAAGCTGTGTATCATTCACTCATGCATAGAGAGAAGACTGCAACCAAGTGATGTCCATAAGCCCTACAGTTTCCATTAAGGATGAATGTGTCGGGAGACGAGATTTGGCTGCCGAGGACGAGTCGAGTCAGGCTTCTGAATAGACAAAACACATTTATTTGCTTCCATTCAAACTAGCAATATACCAGATGAAGCTAAAGTTCAAATCCATTATTACTGGAAATAAAATTTGATGCGTTCTATTCTTGTATGGATACGAGAGTCCTATCTCCTCCAGACGGAATTATTGATACATGTAATCTAAATGCATCTGCGTCAAACAACTGATGTGACAGAGCTTAAATTTTGTGAAATGGCTACAAATTGTTTCAATTTGATAAATTTAGATCCCACTTTGACCTTTTCAAAGATACGATTTATTTATACCTTCATCGGTATCATGTAACCATATTATGTTGTGAATTGATATTTTTGTGTAAGAGATTAGGTGGCTGTTCCCAATGTATTAAGAACAGCCATTTTGACGTCAGCTGCGTGCGTTGTTGAATAATAACTTGCGTGGGTTTGTCCCTTGGTGCTGCTGTAGATTGGGGAGAAAGACATGGGGCTAGCAGATAGTGATTGAAGCCAGGGATTGTGAAAGTACTCACACATCCAGTATTATGTGGAGACACTGCTGAGAGCCCGCACTGCCAGCGACACTCTTCGATGCATGTATTTGTTGCTCTGATCAACTCTCTAACTCCCTTCATAGACTTAGATATTTACAGTTTGGGAGAAATTTTGTCTGTAGAAAAAGGTTGTTTTGAGGTTATTTTCGGATCAATATATGTATAAGCCTGATGGAAGGTGGAGTGTGTCGCTTCTTTCATGTGCTGTCCTCATTCTCTGTAGGGAGTTGGGAGTGCAGCTGGTCCCAGTGCAAATTGCAGCTCAGTACAAGGTGGCTCAGATGCCTGTAATGGCTGCTAGGTGTGAATATTACTCATCAAATGACCACAAGGGAGGTTGGGTCACTGCTTGTATTAAGATGTGACCTTGGTTGTTCAACCCACATAAGATATTGACCCTCACACATCCTGTACTCAGATGTGACCTTGGTCGTCCTACTCTGATGAAAGGATTGAACCTCACACATCCTGTACTCAGATGTGACCTTGGTCGTGCTACCCTGATGGAAGGTTTGAACCTCACCCGTCCTGTACTCAGATGTGACCTTGGTCGTCCTACTCTGATGAAAGGATTGAACCTCACACATCCTGTACTCAGATGTGACCTTGGTCGTGCTACCCTGATGGAAGGTTTGAACCTCACCCTTTCCTGTACTCAGATGTGACCTTGGTTGATCAACCCACATAAGATATTAACCCTCACACATCCTGTACTCAGATGTGACCTTAGTCTTTCTACTCAGATAAAAGGATTGAATCTCACACAAACCTGTATTCAGATGTGACCTTGGTCTTTCTACCCTGATGAAAGGATTGAATCTCACACATCCTGTATTCAGATGTGACCTTGGTCGTGCTACCCTGATGGAAGGTTTGAATCTCACACATCCTGTATTCAGATGTGACCTTGGTCTTTCTACCCTGATGGAAGGATTGAATCTCACACATCCTGTACTCAGATGTGACCTTGGTCTTTCTACCCTGATGAAGGGATTGAATCTCACACATCCTGTACTCAGATGTGACCTTGGTCTTTCTACCCTGATGAAAAGATTGAATCTCACACATCCTGTACTCAGATGTTACCTTGGTCATCCTACTCTGATAAAAAGGTTTGAATCTCACACAAACCTGTAGACAGATGTGACCTTCGTCTTTCTACCCTGATGAAGGAGATTAAACATCACACTGGGTTATGAAGGTGTACCTAAACCAGCATTTCTTACGTGATGCTTGTTGGCATAACATCCTACTCACTCACTCACTCACTCACTCACTCACTCACTCACTCACTCACTCACTCACTCACTCACTCACTCACTCACTCACTCACTCACTCCTGGCCTGTCATCTTTTTAGAGTCTCTATAACTTAAGCTGTCTTGATGTCATTCAAGTGATGTCTTAACCCTGTTTTATGGGAGGCCCAGGCACGCCTTCATGCCAGTCATGCAGTAATTTCTGTTCCATGTTCTTTGGGAGGTCTGTACATGTGAGGGACCAGCTCCTGCAAATCAGACACCGGTATCACACAGTTTAAGAGAGAACTTTCTCCAATTGGCAGCCAAGGAGTAAAGATATTATTCAAGTAGCAACATAGGTGCCTAATGACTTGGAATAGGCAGCACTCAGACGAGAACGCTTTTGTGAAGAGTCTGCAATTTCCCTTTGAAGTCAGTATTGATTTTCAGCGAGATAAGCTATTTATCAAGGTCTACTCAACCTCCATTATTTCTGGCCTCTTCTACTGATGTTGACGTACAGACAGGTGACTCGGGTAGAATGTGCTGTCATGTTGTGATCTGGTGTCCGAGACACTCGCAGGAACAGGACATAGATATGTAATAGGCATCAAAGCCGTGTTTGATCTGTGTTTTATGATAGCATCTAATGGTGCAAAAATATACAGATTTTTTAAATTGCTAGATCCTATGACACATGTTTCCTTGTGATCTACTTTCAAGACTATCTGAATTTCTTTGTTTTGATTAGTTGGTGATTTTTTTAAGAGTACATTTTTTTTTTCAATCAAAATAATTTCCTTTAATGTTGACTTATCTAGAGTTTTGAGTTGCCTCATGAAATGCTAATAAGATGAAAGAGTGACCCACAATGGAAGGACCACTCATTCATTTTGAAGTGGCTGTTTCAAAATGACATTGTACAATACATAGTCTGTTGGTTCAAAGCCTGAGTTTATAAAAAATGGGCAATTCAGTTTACGATTATAAAAATGGTATCAGTAACGCGTTCACTAGAGGGAAGTTGTGCATTTTTGATTGTATGTATGTGGTAGATCAGAGGATCACGATTTGATGGTTACCGTGTTTCAGTGGCATCGGAGCGCCAGCTATAGCACAGGGGATGATGGGATATCTTCGGAGAACGACGATCATGATGATGCAGTAAGTATCTCCACACACATACAAATACAACCTTGATATTGCTGGAATATTGTTAAAGACAGCCTAAACCCACTCGATCATACATAAACACACACACACACACACACACACACACACACACACACACACACACACACATACTCTCTCTCTCTCTCTCTCTCTCTCTCTCTCTCTCTCTCTCTCTCTCTCTCGAACGATCTCAAATGATCTCAAACGAACGAACGATCTCAAACGAACGAACGATCTCAAACGAATGATTTGATAACCACTACAGTCTGGAGTCCACACCTGATGGATTGTTCATGCTGTCCGATAGATGGCTTCATAGATTCCTTCTCTTAAAGGAATTATCTTGATGAAGGGTGCAGCAATGGACCCGGGCGGTAGAGTCTAGAGAGTAATGAACCTAGGCCTGTGCCAACAGTGCTACCCGAGTCAAGTCTACCACTGCAATATGGGACAGAAGGTGTAAATATGAATGTACTCTGTCTATATTGGAACTGAGGTGAACAGAGAAAGCGTGATCACGGAAGAAGATCCATTAAATGATGGCGATCTTCTGTCAAGAAGAGAAGACGAGCTCGAGACTGCCGAGGGAGACGAGGGGCAAACATGGTGTAGCAGGCCACTTGTTCTCGGGGGGCGCCATATTGATTGCTTCCAAAGTCAATTATACAAATACTTTGGAAAGCACCAATCAATGATGCACGGATTAATGGACAATTGCTCTGTCTGGCTTGTTTTTTGGTTGGCTGAACTCTACATGACTTTTTAAGAAAAACGTTCTGTGGTTTTCTTATTGTGGGATTATATATAGAGATTGGAGAACAGAGGGTGTTGTATGAACAAGATGGATATTGCCATGTAGGCAAAAAATGCAGTTAAGAAGTTTTGTTGGGGTCTAAAAGTGAACATGTTCAGTAGATGGATTATTGATATTTGATTACAAAGCTGACTTGAAATGCAGTTTGCAAAAGTTGTTTTTGACTAGGAACATTTCCCCAGGGAAATGCTCACTGTAGGTTTATTGAATTCGTTTATGTGAAATTGAGGTTCAACAGTTGGGGTTTCAAGGCCATGGAATAAATGTTGAATGCAGGGCAATATTATTCGTAATTACAGCATTGTTGGTCATGGATATGACATGGAGAGTAGCTCACTTGATCCCTGCATGGGTTCTATTATGTTTGATTATGTAATCAGTCTGCTGACCTCAGCCATTCAGTTCTGATCAAAAGGCTTAAGAAATAGCAACTCAGCACAATTTCTGCTGTGTCAGCAGTTTTTCTGCTGTTTTTTTGTGAGGAGAATCCCCACTAGACCAGCATCTGCTGACATGGAAGGCATTGACGTGCACCATCAGGTCACAATGCACATTGAATCACATGTCACAGCTACCAACTGGTCACTTCTCTCGCTGGTCTCTGATGAAAGTTCTGTCTGTACAAGTAGTCATTGTGGCTCCTGATACTGGTGCCTTTTTTAAATCTCCTTTCTGACAAAGAAATAAAATAGGGGAGGTGGGGTAGTCTAGTGGTTGAAGCGTTCACTTGTCTAGCCAAAGACATGGGTTTGATTCCCCACATGGGTACAATGTGTGATACATTCTGGTGTCCCCCGTCCATGACATTGCTGGAATACTGCAAAAAAGCAGTTAAAACCACTCACTCACTCACCCACCCAGATTCTCACTCACCCACTCACCCACTCACCCACCCACCCACCCAGATTCACACTCGATTATCTACAGACCACCATCATATAGCTGGAATATTGTTGAGTGCAGCGTCAATGGTTAAACAACAAACAAACAAAACAAACATGTCCACACTTGGAGAATGACACAAATGATCCATTATTAATGAACTCTTCAAACTACAGTGGCTTCAGGACCATGTACACATGGTCAGAAAATTAATATATTAAAATTTGTTTTCATGCTGGTCTTCTTGATAAGTTGGTATAATGATGTGTTGCTAAACAGTGTGACGCTATGATTCCCCTGTGAAGATACGATTTGCCCTGGGGGATTCCAAGTTAGAACAGATCCACAGTGGCCTATGTTGGTAGTAAGAGGCGAACAAATGGATCGTGTAGTCAGACTCACTGACTTGGTGGATAGTGTGTTCTCGTACCCGACAGGGGCACGGAAGGCCAAGTTGTCTAAGGCGCCGCAATTCGCTGTGCAGAGTTGCGTCCCTTGGGCACGCCAGAAACCTATGATTGTGGGTTCGAATCTCGGTTCGCCACGATAATGTTTCTAGGTTTGTCAGCACCATACTCGTGCTCGTTGGTTTCACAGAAGTGGTAAACATCTGAGTGAGTGAGTGAGTATGTTTTACGCCGCTTTTAGCAATATTCCAGCGATATCACGGCGGGGGATACCAGAAATGGGTTCACACATTGTACCCAAGTCGGGAATCGAACCCGGGTCTTCGGCGGGATGAGCGAAAGCTTTAACCACTAGGCTAGCCGACCGCCCCTGTAAACGTCTGAGACCTGCATCACTTCAGGCTTTCCTCCCACATTAAGCTGTCACGCCGTGATATAACTGTAATACTGTTAAAAGCGGGGTTAAACCCAAATCACTCACTCACTCTCATACCCGACAGCATGGATCATTGCTCACAAAGACCAATCACTGGATTGTCTGGTCTAGACTCGATTGCTTACATCTGCCTGCTGTTATGTAGCTAGACTACTGCTAAACAAACAAACAAGAGAGGATACGATCCGCCTTTAGACAATGAAGACAGTTATTAGTTGAATTAGGAGGTTCAATCCATAAGTCAACTCGGTCTTTATGGATAAGACAGCTTCTAAGTTAATCTGTATTGTGACACACATGATGCACTGCCTGCCAGTGACTGGGTTGGTTGGTTTGCTTCTTGTTTAATGCTGCACTCAGCAATATTCCAGCTATATGATGACGGTCTGTAAATTTTCGAGTTTGGACCAGACAATCCAGCGATTGATATTATGAGCATCGGTCCAAGCAATTGGGATCAATGACATGCATCAAACAGGTCAACAAGCCTGACCACCCGATCCCGTTAGTCGCCTCTTGCGACAAACATGGTCGCCTTTTACAGCAAGCATGTGTTGCTGAAGACCTATTCTCCCCCAGATCTTCATGGGTGCCAGTGACTGGGGAGGGTCCTAGTTTGATTGGTACTTGCTGCTTAATCTGTCATCCGAGAACAGCGGTAGAAACAGTCCACTAGTGCTGTAATGATAACATATATCATATATCAAAACCCTTAAAAATGGCAAATCTCTACAAGTCTTATGTCACATTAACTATTGGGCTGTTTGGCAAGAAGTACAGGACTAGTGCCAATTTCTAATGCTGCATCATCTTTCAGCATCTGCTGGGTGCTGTCAGTCGAGACGTGTGTCGCAACGGCGGCAAGTTGAGTGGGCGACTCCGAGACATGAAGAACAAGGTGCTCAAGGGAAGAGAAGGTCACGCAGCAGAGGTGAGAATAGGGACAGTGCTTGCCATTGGTTATGTATAAGGCTTTAAAAAAATGGTAAATTGAGGACATTTATTTCTACAGCAATATGTTTTCAGTAGAAGCTGAAACCAATGTAAGAAATGGACTATGTTGATACTGTTGAGAGTAAAAATTGATATTGTTGCTGAAGTCGCATCTTGTACAGCAGCTTGGATGTTGAGATTGCCTTCTGCAGATGTGGAATAGCTTGTTTAGACTTTGAATATTACTGTTAGGAAATGAAATCCTAGGATGTAAGTTGCCCCCGATAGATTCTTGTTGGTAAAGGACAACTAGATGCTCCGAGAAATTGTGTTGATGTAGATGTTTCTGCTTCAGCTGGACTTTAGAACGGCTCAGATGGTTCACCGGCCGCCGCTCAGAAGAGAGAACTCCTATGGCGGGACAAGGTCACCAAGTAAGACGTCCCACCTTGAAAACTTGAACACAACTTGTAGCTCTATGACAATCTGTATGTCCCACCTTGAATTCTTGAACACAACTTGAACCTGTATTATGATCTATGACATCCCACCTTGAATACTTGAACACAACTTGTAGGTCTATGACAATCTGTATGTCCCACCTTGAATTCTTGAACACATCTTGAACCTGTATTATGATCTATGACATCCCACCTTGAAAACTTGAACACAACTTGTAGCGGTATGCCAGTCTTGTTACGTAACACCTTGAAAACTTGTACACAACTTTTAGTGGTTTGACGGTCAATGACGTCCCGCCTTGTAGAATAGGTTCCCAGCACCCTCTCACTCAAACCTGCAGAAACAGGGGTAATAAATAGATAGTGAAAAATAGATCACATCATTTCCTGTAGTCAAGGGGAGATAACTATGTAAGACTAGCTGTGTGCTATATATTCCAGGTTTAGGAAAGGCAGTGCAGGAACTATTAACTTTCTTCTGCCCTTTTAGCGTTTTTTTTTTTATTGTTGAGGGAATGGAATACTTTTCAGTTAACGTTTTATTACTGAATGAAATTTGTAACTATCTTGTTAAAGATCTTTGAAATATGACTGTACTAATGTTTGTGTTCTCCGCTCCAGTCTACAACTGCCACAATCCAGTGGTCTCCCACCCCCAGGCTGCATCCACCCCAGACAGGCCAGTCTACGCCACCGCCCCCATCCTGGGGCGTGCCAGGGTCCACACAGACTTTGACCCCCAGTGGCGTGAGGATTTCCTACCCCTGAAGGTGAGGTCCCTGTGACTGTTATAACATGCTGGTAGGTTTCTGGCAGTCAGGCACTTCTGAATGCAGCAGAAATATTGGAATTATTTTATTAGAAATGGTGTATTTTTCATTATGACTTGCATAGTTAAATGATTTGGAGATCTGCAAATATTTGACGGTAAAGACAAGATATTTTGTGGATGACAACTTCTTTATTCTATTATGATCTGACGTTTCGATATAGATCCTTATACCGTTGTCTTTGATCACAGTACAATACCATTTAGAAAGTGGTCAAATGTAACAAATGTTATATCTGGGATAACACTCTATTAGTAAATTACAAATTCTTGTACTTTTATGGTTCGAGTCCCGTCCGTTATGCGGACACACACTGCCAGAGTGACTCTGTGTGCTGGCGATAAGGTGACTCACTCTGGCAGTGTGGGTTCAAATCTTGAATAGGACCCAAACCCCAAAAGTACTAGAATCTGTACTGTACTTAGAAAGTGTTGTCCCAGATTTCACATTTGTTACATAAAATATCTTGTGTTTACTGTTACTTACCAACTTCTAGATATGCAAATCCAACAGTGCCAATATTTGGTTGGTGTATGTTCCAGCGAGGGGATGTAGTCAACATCATCAGCATGGGCCACTCGGGGATCTGGAGGGGCGTTCTCAATGGCAGAGTCGGCAACTTCAAGTTCGCCCATGTGGATGTGCTGGGAGATGATTGGTTGAGGACACAGCGCAAGGAGAAACAGTTACGGCGCCACAACTCCCGCAAGTCTAAACCCAAGTCGGTGGAGGAACTCATGCAGAGAATTGGCTTGGAGGTTGGTGAATATTACCATTGTGTTGTGTATACAACCAAGAACTTGTCCTGGGACCTGTTCCTCAAAGCTATCGTAGCGCTACAACAGGCGTAAGTCTGTGTTAAAGTATGGGAGTTACGATCATCTTAGCGCTACGATCACTTTGTGGAACGGGGCGCAGGATTATATCGGGGCTCCCATGGAGGTTGAACATGACCACTGTGTTGTGCATTCAGCCCAGAGCTTGCTTGGCCTGGTGTCATAAAGTGGACTGAGGGTGGATGACATGTCAGCTGCAGCCGGCTGATTCAGTACATCATGGTCCCCTATTGCATACAGATCACTCGCAGTGTTGACCACGAGGATGAGGGGTTTGCGTAGTGTTTAAATTGGTTGCTTTTCACCCTGAAAACCTTGGTTGGATTCTTCACAATGTTTGGGGGGCGGTCGGGTAGCCTAGTGGTTAAAGTGTTCGCTCGTCATGCCGAACACCAGGTTTGATTCCCGACATGGGTACAATGTGTGAAGCCCATTACTGGTGTCCCCTGCCGTGATATTGCTGGAATATTGCTAAAAGTGGCCTAAAACCATACTCACTCACTCATTCGCAATGTTTCGAAGCATGAAGCCCATTCTTGGCGTTCACCAGTGTCATGTTGCTGGGTTAATGCTAAAAGCAGCGTAAAAACTTTCTTCCTATTGACACTAGTGTCTGGTCCAGACTTCCATGCCACTGATACAGCTGTAATTTAGGTAACCAATCTTGCAGTCACTTAAGTGTGTAGTTAATGACTCCACCTTATGGTTACATCTGTTATTCTATTTTTCAGCACCTGACCAGTTTGTTTATGCTGAATGGATTTGAGATGTTGGAGACCTTCTCCGAGCTGGATGAGGACGACCTGAACACTCTGAACATCACTGACCCTGAACAGAAGGCCAAACTCCTGACAGCGGCTGAACTACTCAATGACTGTGATTGTAAGTGGGAGGCCGTGAAGTAGAGGACAGTTACTACACAAACTCTCGTGAAGATCTGGGGTAGAATAGGTCTTAAGCAACCCATGCTTGCAATGTTGAAGCCAATCATTCACCCACTAGGTCATATGTTCCTGTTAGGCCATACAACACCAAGTACAGCGTGGATACAGAGCTGTAGTTGTGGTTTGATGCTAGTCTGTCATACAGACCCTGAAACAAATATATCCAACAAAGCCCATGCAAGTCTATAATCTTTGGCAAGTCTAGATTACAGTATCTGAAATTTGAAGAAAGTCTCTGGGCTCCATTTTATTATATTTTTTAACTATATTTTAACAATTGTTTTTTCTGTAAAATATGTTTTTTTCAGAGACTAGATGTGATGTCTAGTTTGCTGCCAGAAAATCTTTTCGTCCTGTTCCCAATTCTGCCTAAAACATCAGTTTCTTACTTGCAGCCCATGATGCCTCAGATGGCCACACTAGAAGTGACCGATCAGGATCTGGTACCAACTCCTCAGATACACCATCAAGTCTTTCCCCTGCCACCGTCACTGGGGCTGAACACGCACAAGCAAGGACGGGTAACTCCAGCAGGGACTCCGGATGCTATGCCAGTAATGAACAGTTGATGCTCAAGGATGCTCAAAAACCCCACTCTAGTCAACAAGCAAAGGTTGTCATGACAACAGCTTCTCAAATCAGGCCTGCTAACACAGGGGCAGCCCGCTCAGATGCCGATTGTAGTGGTCACATGTGTGGTATGTGTGGTAAGCCCAGGGTTCAAGGTCAGTCACCTCTGCGGGAGGATGAGGGTATGGAAACCGATCGAAGTGATAAGGATTACACAGAGGAGGACAAGGAGGTGTTTGCTATTACTAATGGATATTTGCAACAAAGGACAGGGTCGCCTCCTGATAAGAGTAGCAAGAATTCTAAGAAGATGAGTGGATATTGTAAACATTGTGTTCATAGTAAAATGCCAAGCAAACCGAAGATGTCACATTCTCCTTCTCGAGGAACCCCTAGTGCTAACAATTCCTTGTCTTCTGACACGAGCACCAGCACGACCTTGACAACTATCCACTCCCCAAGCAACCCCAACCTCCAGTGCTCAGTGTATGGCTCCAGTACACAGGCCAGGAGGAAAGTGAAACCAGTGCCACCACCCCGAGCTCCCGGCACCGAGATCACATCGGTCCCGACGCCAGAATATGCTGCAAGGGACATGTATCCACAAGTCAGGAACCAACGACCAAAGGACATCAATCCAGTGAGTCTGTATGGACGGCACCAGATCTCAATGCCACAACTGCAGATGCCTTTGTCCATGTACTACCCGGAGAGGATTGCCTCCCCTCATGGTAGCATCATCTATGGCCAAGGGAAGCAGATGATACCAGAGCCGATCTATGGTCAGGTAACCATCAAGAATGTCAGTCGGTCGCTCATCCCCTTGGTGTCCACCAAGCTGAGTGCCGAGAAGATTGATCTGAGTGAGGAGCCATATTCATCTGAGGTAGGTGCAACTTCAAGACAGTCGAGGAGGGGAATAACGTTTTGAACCATTTATTTGTATCCAATAAGGATCATGAACGCTAAATATATGTAAGACGTCACAAATTTTAATGTGGGCAGAGACTATAAAATATTTTATGGTCTCTAATGTAGGCCGTCTAATCTTTCAATTTTACTATTAGTGAGTGCACAAACAAAATATTCAGAGATATAAAATGCTGGATGAAAGTTACATTGTAGCATTTGCTTATTAAATTCATGAAATACATTTTCACACACGGTATTACTGAAGGTGGGGTTCAATGTCTCGTCCAAGATTATTGCACTTGTATAGCGACCTGCATGTATGTGTGTGTGTGGCTGCTTGTACTAGTTTGGACTAATACTGATTTTATAGTGCTAGCCGACTGAGATACCATGCCGCAGTTGTACAGAAATACCCCACTCAGACACAGTATACTGACTCCGAGCTGACCAGTCCTTGTTTTAGTCCCTTCATCCTGAGTGCCAGGCATGGTAACAACAAGTACCATCTTTTAATGTCTTTTGGTATGTCGCGGCCGGAGATCAAACCCCGAACCTTCCGCTCTCTTGACGATCTTCCAATAGACCACAGAGATGGCCTTGGTATTACTGAAAACATATAATGTTAGTTGATGTTATGAAGTAAGTTTGTTTTTCTGCAGCTTGGCATGTGCGCCATCCCACCCCTGCTGATCCAGCGGTACGCGGAGGAGCTCCGACAGGACATCCATAGTGTGTCCCTGGTGCTGGAGCAGGTCCGACTCTACCATCTACAGAACCACCAGAGGAACTCGGTGAGCTATACCACAGTCTGATCCTCTTTGGTTGACAATTCGAAGCACAGGCCATATTGATATGGCATATAATTATATTGTCCAGATCTGTTTGGTTAACATGTAAACAAATGCATCATGTACTGTTCTCATGTGGTAAAGTCCGTCTTATGTGTCCATCAGTTGCCTCATTGATCATTGTGTCTGACTGCATGCATTCTTTCTGTCACAGATTCCCAATGACAAGTTGTCTGAGAGCTGCAGCAATGCTGTGGACCTGAAGATATCTTCCATCGAGGACTTCTTCATCTCGATCGGCCTGCCCATGTACATCGACCCACTGTATGAGAAAGGATGTTGCACTATACAGCTGCTGCTCAATCTGACAGAGAATGATCTCAACAGGATAACCGGAGCTGATACCCGGCATCTCAAACGCATGCAGCATGCCATAGAATGGGTCCGACACAAACTACAGTCACCTGTCAAAAGCCCAAAATCTCCAACCAAAAGTCCAACTTCTACCAAGCAGACATCAGTCAGAGACAGAGTTTAAGAACTTTGTAATTTAGACCTTGTTGTGATGTTTCGTACACTCTTCCTGCTACGATCTTTAAAACAAACCTCTAAGGTCTGTCAACAATCTGAGTCAACTGTGACCTGGTGACTTCCAGCCTTCAAATACAGGCATGAGAAGCAGGTGCCCCTTCATGAACAATTATTGTACATTCAAAGTTGTATATGTGAAGACAGTGAGGTTGTTTGCATGCAGACATTTGTAAATTGTATTGTTTTTATAATAATATGAAATTTTATTGTACTGAAATCTGATGTCAGTACATGAATACCAAATGCCCTGTACACATATGGCTGTTCGTATGGTGGATATTACAGGGCATTAAGCTCTTCTCACTTTTTAACTTCAAAATTTGTAATTATGATCTTTCTGCTGAAGATTTTGTGATTGGCGTACTCATTCATACAAAATAAGGTTTATTGTTCGAAGGTGGGAAATAGTGAAGTCTCACAGTCTAATCTGTACAAGTGTCAAAAATGTTTTTTTTATTTTTCTTGTATGTGCATCTGTATGGTACGAATGTATCCTCTCTGCCTGGTCAGTATATCCAGTACAGTGATAGTGCAGTGTGTATGGCATGTTCAACAAACATAATCGTAATACTCTGTGAATAATGTATAATCAGTGGATCATTATTTGTGATTTGTACATTTTTACATTGGCAATGTGTACATATATCATTGTATTGTATGACTGTGGATGGTGAGTTACTTCAACACAAGTTCACACTGTTGATTTATCTAATATAATGCAAGTTAATGCCAACAATTGTGAATACAAGTTGATGATTGGTGAGGATGCACTGAAGTATGGAATAACAGCTACGTATGCCCCTAGGCATTGTTTGACTTATTAACTGAGAAACAGTTGCTTTAAGTGTAAATAGCAAAGAAAATTTATGTTTAATTGTAATATAGACACTTATTGAATTGTTACAATCACATTATTCTCATAATGAATTTCTAGTCGAAAAATGTTATGGCATTTATGCATGATCCTTATGTTCATGAATATTCATCATTTATCCTTGCAATTTGTAGTGCATCTCAAGTTGGATGAAATAGTGCTTGTTGATTGAGTGACCTGGTTGAGAGTTGAGTCTAGAGATGTTGTGATAGAACTGGGCTCGCTTAGAACTGTATGGGGACTTCTTTGTACAGGGACAAAGACCAGTCATATGGCGGAAATATTGATGAGAGCAAGCTCACACAAACAGTTTTTGAGGGAAAACTAAGTTTTAATAAAGTATCATGTTTCTGGTCTTCTGGTGTGACCTAAAATGACGTGGCCTTTTTTTTCTCTCATTTTCTTACAAGCTCATTTGCATGGAGGTAAGACATAGTTGTCTCCGGTATTAAGGTGTCCTTTTAAAACTTCAGTAGAGTCATGTCTATACTGTACTCGCACTCAACAAGCCCAAAAAGTCTTTTAGTCTTCCAGGGTTTTATCTGGACGTACTAAAGTGGGAGTCCCTGGTACCCCCAATAATCAATTTAAGGTTCCTTGTAGGTAATATGAGGTAATATGTAATGGTGTAGTGTACTGTATGTTTAGATAACTGCTTTGAAGCCTGGAATGAATCAGTGATCATGTGGACAGTGGTCATGATCGATGGATGAAATGAGAGACACCCATAACTGCTCTTTATGCACTGAAGATACAATCAACATTATTGTGCATTCCTTGGGACGCTGAATTTTTTGCGTGCGTCCATTCTCTACATTTGTGCGTACTGGACTCAAATTTTGTGCATCATGTAAAACGATGGTCTTCCTACACACACAAGTACAGACATGAGATTGTGCATTATGTGGTGTTTGTACGTTCATTTTTGGGAAAGCAGGTTACAGTTACCTGCCCTTGAGCTGGAATATAGCTGGAATATTGCGGAGTGTGGCGTTAAACAACAAACAAACAAAACCTGCCCTTGTTTAAATATGCAGAAAAAATAAGAAAGCAAGACCATGTGGGTTGACAATGATTTGCGGGCACCAGAAATGTAATACTTTTATTGGTGGGGGGTGTACGGTTTCATGATCTGGCTGTATTGAATATCTTGAGTGAGTCTGTGCAACGTAGGTCATATTACCTTTTTTGTCTTTTAATCCGATATTGAGGAAAATAGATCTTAAGGCATTATGAATGATTTTTATAAGTACTTTTCGTCCACTATTGGTTGTTTTTAGACTTGTATACTGACATTTTAGTTTCAGTTCATGCCATGTTTTGTTTCTTTTTATTTCTATTTTGATCAGTTTTATTGATAAGGAAGGCATTTTTGTGTGAACTATACACACAATAGTGAGTCGACAGTACTTTTATATTTATTTTCTTAAAGACATTGTTGCATGGTTATTTGAGAATCAAGTATGGCATTAGATCAACCACTGTTCATTGGTTTTGTGCACTCTTGAGATTCATATTGAATTTCAAAATACATTGATCAAACATCCCAGCAAAAGCCTGGTATGAAAATATATGAATTCTGTTTTAAACGAGTACGTTGTCTGTCAGATGATTATCATGTATTCTGCTGAATCTCTCCTTGTTAAGGGACCAGTCATTTTGAAGTGGCGAGAGTGTGTGCAGTTGTATGATATTGCAGGTCTTAGAGATGCTAGGAAAAAGAACGATGCTTTTGTGAACGTTTTGAAAATAATTGACAAGCATATATAAGATGGTTTTACATACATTGGGTGATGTCTTGATCTTGGAATTGAAAAGACAAAACTTCTGAAGTCCTTTCTCATCCCCCCTCCTGTTAAATGACTGGCCCCCAATGTCAGATGAACCCATCAAACTGTTAACAGAAGTATACAAAATGTGATATTTGCTTGTATTCTGGTTGTTGCATAAAACTGAAAAATTCTCCAATTTAGCACTGTTGGTGAAGTAGTCAATAGCTAGAGAGTAGCAGCTAGTGTAAATGTGAGGCTAATTTATAGACCAGTGGAACTGAACTGTCTGTGCAATATTTGACTGTATTCACTTGCTCCACCTTCCAGTCATAATGGCCCTGCCTTTGTTTATACTGGGAGCCGGCTGTCATGATTGGTGCTGGATGTTGGATCAGTATTTTTATAATATATTGGACATATTGCGACGGACAGCGCGCTTGTCTGTCTCTCTCTCTCTCTACTTGTTGTTCACTCGTTCCGAGAACAGTGTTGGAAATAAACCATTTGAACATACTAAAACTCTTGTCTTTGTTCACTCGTCAGTAGTTTTGCTGTTCTAGACCTTAACGCAGAAGGCATTAAAGGAGAAACAAGGGATGTATGACTGAAATAACACCACAACCAAACATGAATAAAGGGATATATGACACACCATAAAATAACCACAAAGAGGAAAAAAGGGATATATGACTTACCGTAAAATGACCACAAAGAGGAAAATAGGGAGGTGTAACTTTTATAACCAAAAACAGGAATAATGGGATATATGACTTGCCGTAAAATAACCACAAAGAGGAAAAAAGGGAGGTGTGACTTTATATAACCACAAACAGGAATAAAGGGATATATGACTCACTGTAAAATAACCACAAAGAGGAATAAAGGGAGGTGTGACTTTATATAACCACAAAGGGGAATAAAGGGATATATGACTCACCGTAAAATAACCACAAAGGGGAATAAAGGGGAGGTATGACTTCTTATAACCACAAACAGGAATAAAGGGATATATGACTTACCGTAAAATAACCACAAAGAGGAAAAAAGGGAGGTGTGACTTTATATAACCACAAACAGGAATAAAGGGATATATGACTCACGTTAAAATAACCACAAAGAGGAATAAAGGGAGGTGTGACTTTATATAACCACAAACAGGAATAAAGGGATATATGACTCACTGTAAAATAACCTCAAAGAGGAATTAAGGGAGGTATGACTTTATATAACCACAAACAGGAATAAAGGGATATATGACTCACCGTAAAATAACCTCAAAGAGGAATAAAGGGAGGTGTGACTTTATATAACCACAAACAGGAATAAAGGAATATATGACTCGCCATAAAATAACCACAAACAGGAATAAAGGGATATATGACTCACCGTAAAATAACCACAAAGAGGAATAAAGGGAGGTGTTACTTTATATAACCACAAACAGGAATAAAGGAATATATGACTCACCGTGAAATAACCACAAAGAGGAATAAAGGGAGGTGTGACTTCTTATAACCACAAACAGGAATAAAGGAATATATGACTCACCATAAAATAAACACAAACACAAAGAGAAATAAAGGGATATTTGACTTGATATGACCACAAGCAGGAATAAAGGTATGTATGACAGAATAATGCAACCACACATGAATAAAGGGATATATTACCAGATATAACCACAGGCAGGAATAAAGAGAGGTGTTACTTAATAACTCAACTACAAGTAATTACACACACACTGTATGACACTGTCCTGCTGACTGTACGACATTGTATGATACAAATGTATCTGTATGGTGTTGTCTTGAAAAACAAATAGAGTCAATGTTTTAATTTGAGATTCAGTATACATACTTTAGGAAGCGGAGAATCATATATCTAAGTCAAGAACATAAATGATGTCATGTTTAGCGTTTTATATCCTCTCCAATGTGTAGAGGGTATGGTTTCTATCATTTTACGTGAGCTTCAACAAGTTTTGAATATGTTCATCGCGGCATGTCGAGTTCTCGGTGACATAGCGAAGGCTACATTTTTAATAGAGATCCAATATATATATCTAACAGTCTGGTGGCGGCGCATGAGACGTTTGCCCCAATGAATCCCAGTAATGTTTATTATAGTTTCCCTACAACCAGGCCATGTGTTGCATAATGTACACAACTTATGGACAGGATTTTATTCGTAAGAAGTTTGGACGACACATGTCATGTACCAAATACGTATATACGTCCGTGCATGTACTCAAGCTGGACGTCATGCTAGCAAGGATCTCTGGGTCCCGCAAGTTTAATCTTCTTGAAGAGTGAGTGATTGAGTTCGACTTTACTCGCTCTTAGTAATATTCCAGAAGTGTCACGACGGGAGACACCATGCATGGGCTGCAAACATTATACCCATGTATGGAGTCGAACCTGCCCTACCACTGGGCTGGGATGTAGAGCGGGCTATATATTCCAATTCCTGATAGTGTGGGAAACGTAACTCCTGAGTTTTGTCTTCTGTCGTCCCACTGAAAACTGAGGGCAAAACTAGGGCTCGTGGACAGATGATTGAGAACTATCCGGGTAGCGTGAGTTTGTGGTGGCTCACGCACGATCCCGGTGCCCTAACTCTCAGCAAAGCACACGGTAGTTCAGAGGTAATTGGAGACAAGTAGCGTCACGCCAGCCGCCATCTTGGCAGACGAACGAAGATGACATCAAGGCGGCATCCAAGCCTACACGATCATCATCAATAAGATACAGCAGCCTTTAACTAGCAATCAGCAACTACAACCAGACCAAACAATATCCATATAACCATGTGACTACACCGACTTTCACCGTCAAGATTCATCAGCAAGTGCCTCTCGATATTCATCATCCAGTCATTGTTTGTTTGTGTAACAACCTAAAGCCTTGTATAGCTATACAAACCTAATACAGTAAACTACGGTTATAACGAACACGCTTATAGCGAATGACGGATATAACGAACTTACTTTTTGGGTCCCGACTATTTGCTTTAGTTATGCTGTATATATGCTTATAACGAACTACAGTTATAACGAACTAAAATTAGTAGTCCCCTTGAGTTCGTTATCACCGTACTTTACTGTATAAGAAACAAAACCCCTGACAATTGTCAGTCAGTCACTCAGACAATAAGTGCAGGAGTAGCAACCTAAAGCTTTGTACGAGTAACAAAAAAACCCACTAATTTATGTGAAGGATGAAACATGTCAGAGGTTTTTTTTAGGTTTAAAACCCGAATACAGGGTATAAAACCGAGGGGCCTCAGCCTCGAAGCTTTACCCCGAGGATGAGGGTTTTAAATCTCATAAAAAAAACCGAGGGTAATTGTTTATCTAACTTATCAACCGAAAAAGAAACATAAAGAAACGGGCGTAAAATATCTATTGCTAGCGTACGAGTATTTGAAAAAGACATTCTTAAAAGTATTGTGATTTATCAGCGTATCTGTAGCCTAGTGGTTAGGCCTCGGTAAACAATAAAAACATAAGTTATGCGCAGAATGAAACACGTCAGAGGGTTTTTATAAGATTTAAAACCCGAATCCAAAGGATAAACATTCACATGTTACACTATAAACGGAAGTTGTATTAATAAAATCCCTTGGATATAATACCATACCTGTTTATAAGTATAACCCGACAGTTGTCAGTCGGACTCTCGGACAGTAAGTGCAGGAGTTGCAACCAAAAGCCTCGTATCACAATAATGCACAGTGAATCCATATGCTCCCTAATTAATGAAAAATCATGGAGAATGCACTATTTAATGTGTACTAAGGAAAATACATAACACGTAAACATTGTATAAAATAATAACAACACATCCACAAATATGCCAACAGAGCTTATATTAAATACAAACAACACAGTCTAATTATTCAGTGTTTTCATAATACTGAGAGTCGAAGGCCTATAGTACATGCTGTAAAGGATATAAAAAGATAAAATAACATATTTGGAACTTCTGAGATTCATAGCATGCAGTATTGACATTGACAGTTGTTTGATATTACTACATTGTTACTTGACATTAATAAAGTTTTCATACTCAGATAACGGATATAATATTTATCATTGTACTGTTTTCGGAGTTCAATATACAACGGATATCTTATTACGAAAAGGTATGTATTTTCTACGGTGTTTAAATCGCAAAACTGACAAATTCTTGTTCTCTTCAGATTCCCATGTGTCTTCCCACCTCGATAAACCGTTCGTGTGGTTTACATCTGAATCTTGCAAATGCTATTCAAAATTGTATATATTAAATCCATATTGCTCTGAACAGATACTGGTTTTTTTAAACAGGCATAATTTGATAGTTAATTGGATAATGATAGACAACAATGCCAATTATTAATGTACAAATCAATTTGAGTAAAAGCCCGATGAAATGATCTGGTATGCTGGTATCCTTTTCTATCCGTCTGTTACAATAACCACAGCTGTTGTTTTACAGATGATTTGGTTTGTTGTTTAATGCCACACTCAGCCATATTCCAGCTACATGACGGCGGTCTGTAAATAATCAAGTCTGGACCAGACAATCCAGTTATTAATATCATGAGCATCGATCCACGCAATTGGGATCGATGACATGCATCAGCTAAGTCAGCGAGCCTGACAACCCGATCCCGTTACTCGCCTCTTACGACAGGCATACGGCGAGCATGGGTTGCTGAAGACCTATTCTACCCCGGTTTTACAGATGATGCCCAGGTAGTCGGTGCCTGTAGTCTATCATAGTGATCTACTAGGTTTATCTATTTATAAAATATTCTCCTGATCAGGGCAAGATTTCATCACGATCGGTCACGTGAACGAATACGTCGCCAACTTGACGGGATCTCGTGGGAAGTAACGAGATCTCACCGGAAGTGACAGAATCCTCACCGAAAGTGACAGGACCTTGCGGAAGTGACTAAATCTCGCGAGACGTGACGGAAACGGGTTTGAGGTGCATGCGCGGAGGAGAGAGAGGAAGAGGAAGGAGGCGGAGCGGGGCGGCGGGTGATTTGAGGGGCAGGGTGGGAGAGATGGAGTGGCGAGCTGTAAAACGAACAAGAAGTAGGTTGTTTAAACATGTGTTTCAAGCATTCTTTTGAGATGATTGGGGGACGAATGGTGAGAGAAAATACAATTGCTGTCCCGATGCAAGAGTATGTGGTGGACAGCCACAAAAGGGGACGCGCGCCTTATCCTCTGCATTCTGGGGTCAGCAAAGACTTCACTTGTGGCTCCCTTGATGAAACACAGTTCATGTCAAGGTGAAACAAGTGAGAACTGCAATTCTTGTTGGCACAGATGCATCACTTAGCTTTGTCAGCATGGGCTACTTACACAAAATAGGCTTTAAACCCTCTCAATTAGGCCCATCTCTCCTCACTAAAATCATAGGTGTTGATGCTTAAATACATTCTGTGTTAGGGTCTGTCTTTCTTGATATCAACATAGGGCACATCTATCTTTCACGTCTTTCATAACTTACGTCACTCACCCATCTTAGGCATTGCCTTTCTTGAATCCACTGAAGTCACTAGAGACCTTTCCTCAAAATGCCAACTTTTCACGAAGGTCCAGTATCAGTTTCTCTGGTGTCTATCAATGGAGACTACACAAGACCACACGAGTCTGTTATTATTCCTCTACATTCTCAAGCTGAAATTCCAATCAAAATGTCTCAGCTTTTCTTTTTCAACCTTTTCCAGCATTAAATTACGTGCAACTCCAAGGTGCTAAATGCCTTATTACAAACAAACAAAAAACATCTTGCATGAGATTGCTTTACACAAGTGACGACAATGTCAATGAATATTCATAAACAGTAGTTGCTGTATTCTCAGATAGTGACCCCACATTTGTCATTGATCTTCCTGACATTTCTGATTCTGAGCCTCCTACCTCTACTAAATGCTACCACAATACATTCAAGGGACTTTAATCTTAGCGATGTTGACCTCACATGTGAACAACAAAAACATTTACATGCATTTCTCCAATCATAAAGATCATTTTTGCCCAAGAATGGTCAGATTTATGACTCACTTACATCATCACCAAATAGAAATAGTGATGCCAGACACATTTGATTCCCTTTGCATAGGCAAACCGCAACCACTAGGAATAAAAGCGACAAACCCCTCACCATATTCACAGGAAATCGACTGAGAAATCAGCGAGAGTCGATTGTACGATTCCGACTTTATCATGAGCATGTGTATGAATCACTATCGAAAAGGTTAACAAATCCTGCCCGATCGTTTGAAAGCTTGATTGAGACCTTGAATTTTGTATCCTTGATCAAACAACTTCTAAGCAAGAGTCTCATGACACTCTTTGAAATCTTGTGAAATGTAAACACAAAGAGCTGGAGCTGCAGGAACATTGCTCGACATAAAAGTAAAACTGAAGTGTCCCTCTTGTCGTAGACTCTTGTGGAGAGTTTTATCGCTTTGAATCTTTATGCATATATCTAAATATGAAACAGATGAGGCGGTCTCACTGGTCTTCTTTATTTCAAGTTCAGGTGGGTGAATCAGTGAAAGGGAATTGGCTATTTAATGGTGATTGAACGATATGAGAACATTAATATACCTTAAGCTTAAGTAAAACTTCTTAGCCAAATCACCATCTTCTGACTTTGCCAATCCGAGCAGCAATTGCATATGCATACAGAAACAGACCAGCAAGAAGGGGAGCATAATTGGTGCCCATGGGGATGTCTACTTCTTGTCTAAATGTATTCCCCAAAATGTTACATAGATGTAATCAATGTGGAAGTTCAGGATTTCACATGTTGTTGTCTCAGTGAATTTCAGGTGGTATTTTTGACAAATTTTCCTGAACAAAAGCCACATGGGTCAAGAAATGAAGTCGTTCCTTTCGATTGTCCTTTAGATAGTGGTGTACAAAGTTGAAAAATCAAACGTTTTGACAGAACTGAACTTGGCTGATGTTAATGTTTTTGACAGGTGCTAGAAATGTTAGAAGCCAATATCATTCAGCCCAGTTCTTCAGAATGGCACTCTCCCATAGTCATGGTTAAACGGCCTTCATTACACCCGATGGCATTATTTCAGCCATATAGCGAGAGTGCCTTTATAAACGAGGGATTTCCTTTGTAAGGTTAATTTGTGAAAAACAAAACAAATATACAAAAAGAAAAAAGTTAAGCACACCCCTATTCTGAACCATGACAAATGGCAAAAATCATGGCATGGGATGACTGACCACAGGATCTGGGCGATACAAATGTCATCGGATAAAAACAAAGATGTGAAAAAAGAAGATATTGGTGAGTTGTGATTGAAATTTACTGACAAAAACATCCTGGTAATACAGGTACTGTTTTTGACCTGAGACAATGCCTCAAAAAAGTATGGAGCTGCAGGATTAAGTAAACGAGTTACGTTTGAAGTTTCAGGTGAAAATGTTCCTTACTCTCTACTTGACATGCCACGTGAAACAGATCAGTAGCGGGTATAACCGCCACGTACCCGGCTGACGCATTCCACCCTACGTCTCATGCCTCCAGTCAGACGTTGGATCTGTTGATGGGTCAACAACAACCACTCCTGATGCAATGCTGCTTCCAATTGGTGTACAAGAGGATCTCGTGCTTGTATGCGCCGCCCCAGAATATCCCAAACATGTTCAAGGGGGTTCAAATCTGGGCTCTTTGCTGGCCAGGGTAGAGTCGTTATTCCATTGGCCCTCATGTAATCCACGACTGCTTGCGAACGATGAGGCCTGGCATTGTCATCCATGTACTGAGGTCGAGTAGCAAGAGGGTGGTTGTCAAAATGAGGAACGACGATTGGCCTCAAAACGTCCCGAATGTACTGAACCCCTGTTAAAAAGTTGCCCCTTATGGTGACCAAATCCAACCTGCAATCATGAGAGATACACCCCCAAACCATTACCGAGTCCCCGCCGTATGCAACAGTCGGTTTAATGTTCCTATGGGTGTAGGCCGTGTTCCGGTGCCTCCAAACTCTCGTTCTTCCATCAGTGACGTGGAGCAGAAAGCGACTTTCGTCTGACCAATGAATCCGTCTCAGATTCCAGTTCTGTCGCCATGCTAAACGAGCAGCTTTGTTGTGATCTCTCAACAAGGGACGCTTTACGACTCGTCTAGCCCTCAGTCCTACTGTTTTCAACCGGTTCCTGACGATTCTGGTGCTGAACCGACGATTGGGCAACCCCAGCTGTTTCAGACGAGTACTTGTTAAAAAGGGTTCTCGGCGTATGAGATGAAGAAGGATCTGGGACGGTCTTGTACATCACCGGTCTGAGCATGTTTCTCATGTGGGGTAGCCTTGTGGTTAAAGCGTTCGCTCGTCACGCCGAAGACCCAGGTTCGGGTCCCCACATGGGTACAATGTGTTCAGGCGATGATGACAATGCAAGCTAAATACGATCCACGAGCATTTCAGTAAAATTCCATCTTTTGACACAGGAAAGAAAAATTTAATTTTTGGAAAATGGTAAATTCCTTAACTTACTTTTGGAATGATCATTTGAACTCATTAAGATGCTTAAGAAAAAAACAAAAGTAAACTTTTAGAGTTCAGACTGCTGGCTCGCTTTCTATAATTTAACATTGACTATTCCTGTAAGTGCAACTTTGTTTTATTAGCATACTACAAACGATATTTACATTAATATTTTTGCGATACGTTTTGATGAGAGTCAACAAGCATGTTTATTCTTCTCTGCATCATGATGTACAACTAATGTATGAAGTCTGATAATATCATTTGCTGCACACACATCTGTGCATTAATCAGGCCAACTTATGTATGTAATGATATTCCTCATGAATATCATGAACAGAAGCGTGTTCCGGAATAGTCGATAAAACAAAGATTTAAAAATACCAACGACAGCCAGTTAAACAGTGCGGACAGGACAGAAAGCGCAGACACTGCAGAAAGCGTAGACAGGGCAGACAGCGCAGACACTGCAGAAAGCGTAGACAGGGCAGACAGCGCAGACACTGCAGAAAGCGTAGACAGGGCAGACAGCGCAGGGGTTGGTCGACGAAATATGACAACAGTAGGTACGTGACTGCATCGGGTACCTTTCTTGAACTTGTTTTGGTCCAGGCCGACCATTCTTTACATATCTTCTAGAGGATTGTATATATCGTATAGAGTCTGTGTATACCATATAGAAGGCTGTGTATATCAAATAGTGAGCTAATATCTACTGTTGATTTCCTTTAATAAACTGATAATATATTTTGAAAGCACAATTATTTCCAGTATGTTAAACCCTAAGAACTCGATTAATTAACAAGTAAATGATCTTTTAAAGTATACCTTTTTGATGCATTGTTTGGCTTGAACCAATATTTAATGCATCGAAGAAATTAACTATGACTATCTACCGCATTCTGTGTGTATTGTTTATTGAGGTGTTTGGGCGTGGTAGGAATACTTTGAATGTGAATAGGTTATGGTTTTCTATAGGTTTCTAAATTTGAAAAAGAAATCACATGTGAACGTATTATAAATTGAACTGAACAATCAAGATTGGAATATGCTCAGTGCACGAGTATGGCATGAGTATATAAGTGGGACAACCGTCAACGGCCTTGTTTGTTTCATGTCTACCATTGTGAACGTGTAGTCAACCATTCTCTATACCCGTACCGATGACGGCCTTGTTTGTTTCATGTCTACCATTGTGAACGTGTAGTCAACCATTCTCTATACCCGCACCGGTGACGGCCTTGTTTGTTTCCTGTCTACCATTGTGAACGTGTAGTCAACCATTCTCTATACCCGTACCGGTGACGGCCTTGTTTGTTTTCTGTCTACCATTGTGAACGTGTAGTCAATCATCCTCTATACCCGTACCGTCAACGGCCTTGTTAATTCTTTTATTCAGGTAATGAGGCCACTGGCCCATTATACACGTGCAGAGTATGATGGCATACAAATATGACAGAGCGCTGAATTATAAGATTTACAATGCAGTATTCAAACTGTTAATATTGGAGTAAATTATATGACACAGGTATTCCCTTGAAAATGGAATTACGTTTCTTACCAGCATGAAATACATATTTTGTAAAATTGTTGCACATACTTTGATTAGTCAAACTGAATAATAAGGACATTTTCTCACGACTTGGAAACATGTGATAATAATTTGGTATGAGATTAGACCGCAGATCAAGATAGAACGGACACACCATACCAAAGTGGAACTCATCTTTGATAGCACTTACAACACAGAGGGGACAGAAACGTTCATGTCTTGGTATATTATGATATCTGCCTGTTTCAACCATAAGACGATGATTGGATCCAAGAAAATTCAAGATATTAATTCGAAATAATGTTACATCAATTAATCGAATCAAGTTATTATATGAAAATGTATCCCTTACTGCAGAGAACAATTCAAGCTTAGAACAAGATTCACAATTATTGTGCAACACTTGATTTTCAATGTCTACGCTCCTTTGCCTAAACTGATGTAAGAATAAGTCAGATCTACCAACACCCTGTTGAAGCCATATAAAAAAACCGGCCTTGTTTGTTTCCTGTCTACCATTGTGAACGTGTAGTCAACCGTTCTCTATACCTGTACCGGTGACGGCCTTGTTTGTTTCCTGTCTACCATTGTGAACATGTAGTCAACCGTTCTCTATACCTGTACCGGTGACGGTCTTGTTTGTTTCCTGTCTACCATTGTGAACGTGTAGTCAACCGTTCTCTATACCTGTACCGGTGACGGTCTTGTTTGTTTCCTGTCTACCACTGTGAACGTGTAGTCAACCGTTCTCTATACCTGTACCGGTGACGGTCTTGTTTGTTTCATGTCTACCATTGTGAACGTGTAGTCAACCGTTTTCTATACCCGTACCGTCAACGGCCTTGTTTGTTTCATGTCTACCATTGTGAACGCGTAGTCAACCATTCTCTAGACCTGTACCGGTGACGGCCTTGTTTGTTTCATGTCTACCATTGTGAACGTGTAGTCAACCATTCTCTATACCCGTACCGCTGACGGCCTTGTTTGTTTCCTGTCTACCATTGTGAACATAAAGTGTGTGAGTTAAAATTTAACGTGGCATCGGCAATATTTCAGCCATATAGCAACGACACCAAGTTGACATTTTCACAAGTGTGAACATATAGTCAGTCATTCTCATTCTCTTTACCCGTACTGTTGGCGGTGTTTAACCCTCGGCACTCCTACTTTAGTCGAGTGAGTGAGTTTGGATTTTAGCAATACTCCAATAAATATCACGGCGGTGGACACCACAACTGGGCTTTACATATCATACCCATTTGGGGAATCGAACCCGGGCCTTAGGCGTGACGAGTGAACGCTTTAACCACAAGGACCGCATCGCCTTGCAACTTTAATCGATCGGTGTTTATATATTTTTTTATAAATAGATGCTTATTAACATTGTTTCATGTGTTGGGGGCAGCACGGTAGAGGCTAACTAAAGTTGTATTGATAAAACAAATCTGATAACTGCCAATAGTGAAAGGTTTGGTGGAGAGACTACGAGATGGCGAGAACGTCATCTGTGCGGAGGGATACTTGTGGGAGCTGGAGAGAAGAGGTTTCCTCAGATCCGGGCCCTTCACACCGGAAGTGGTTATAGATCATCCTCAAGTAGTCCGACATCTCCATGAAGAATTCGTCCATGCCGGAAGTGACGTTGTGGAGGCCTTCACAGTAAGATCAATTACAAATGCAATAGTAATGTGGTAATATTTGTTATGAGTGAATAACTTGCGAAAACTGGCAGATCAAGGTCAAAGAATGAGGAGATAAACCTACCGTGTTTTGAAATTTGCTGTACTTCCACTTTTAATTTAAAAGTTGACAAATAACCCTCACAACTAAGTCCAAAGATTGTGCACAATTTGGGTTCACTAAACACAGGCCTCTGTGCCGTTGCTTAAATATTTCTAGATCAAAACATACAAAATGCACTATCATATTATATCTTTACACAAGGGCAGCCACTCCGTACAGCACCGCTAGCCTTGTATGACTGTTTCTGAAGTGAAATCACAAATCAGGCACAAAACTCTATATCTACCTTGTCTTGGGTGATTATTCTATCGATTTCAATACATGACACCTCCCAATTCTTTATTGCTATGAAATAATATCGACCGAAAGCCGTCGACTCGCCAGCTGAGCACAAATGGCTGACATCAGACCCGCACAGAATGGGTTTGTGCTAGAAAGTGTGCAGAATGCTGAACGAATTTATTTCTCCAACAAACGTTATTAAATAATTACTATTCTACTATTTCTTTTACATGTGTAAGTCTTAGAAATATCAATTACCACCAGTAAATAATACAAATTCAAAATAAATGCCTCTCCACCCGGAACTGGAACGTGGCAGAACCTGAGCGGCATCATGGTTACTCACAACTGTCAATGACTGCCAATGTTATTGTTTACAATATCCATGCCTCTGACAAGTTACATGTAGCAAGACGACAACCCCGATCTATGATGTTGTTCAACATTAATGTGTAGATTTACTGGGAATGAGCCTGATGGTACAACTGATTACCAATGAAACCGGACCATGACTGAAAAGACAATTTTTTAGGCTGCAGACTATCTTGACACGAGGCATTGGATTTTACTTTTTAATTTCATGATTTCACGGCATTCAACGCCAGCGTGTGAAAGAAATGTGACAGTTGTGGCCCGAAAACAGTGGTTCGTGTATGATTTGCTTAACTGTGTGTGTTCTGAAATGAATTCCATCAAGATTGATAAGTTGTTATGATCAAGTCCTGTGCTGTGACTTCACTGATGTCGGGACTTTGTTTTCGTGTCCTTTCGAAGGAAGGAGTGTTTCAAAAGCTCCATAAAATCCGTACAAAGAGAGATATATTACTGGGTCCAGCAAATGTACCACCAAAGCCCTGTCTCAAAGACTAACCTTAATCCTTAATACATTCGGTTAAATAAATCAACAAAACCCTTTCAGTATCTAATAGAGATCTCTGCATAAAGCAGAGTCGATTGTTAGATTTCGACTATATCATGACTAGTGTTTATAAATCACAATCAAATAGTTATGATACCAGGTGTTCGTGAAAAGGTGAGCGTATCCTACCCTATAGGCGGCACCCATCATAAACACATGCAAAGGCAAGTCAATTGTTCACCTGGAAAAACACAAAAATGATGTCCGATGCAATTCCTATTTTTACATGTTCCATATTTCCCCGTGTTTTTTTAGGTGAACAACTGACTTGTTGCATGTGCATGTGTTTGTGATAGGTGCCACTGGTGGGGCAGGATAGGCTTACCTTTTCGCGAATACCTGGTATCATCACTATTTGATTAATAAACACATGTTCATGATATAGTCGGTGAAGATCTGGGTTAGGGTTGGTCTTCAGCCACCCATGCTTGTCGCAAGAGACGACTAACGGAAGGGAGTGGTGAGGTTTGATCCTATTTGCGTAGATCGATGCTCATGATATCATTCACTGGTCTACATTTGATGATTTACCGCTGTTATATAGCTGGAATATTGCTGAGTGCGGTGTTATACATCAAATAAACAATTTTCAACAAAATATATAAATGAAATAATCCCCTTGTTTTATCCATTCTTGTTTTGATTTCAAAATATTACAAGTGGTTAAAGTACTCTTTTTGTCAGTGAGTGCTTTTGAAAGTATATTTTATTTCAATTATTTTCTGTCCCATTTTGCATAATACCTAATTTACTTCAAGAAACTTTCTCTTCTCCAGTATTTTGGGCACCGAGCAAAGCTGCGAATGATTGGAAGGGAAGATGAACTGGAAACTTTAAATTACACAGCACTGAAGATCGCGCGAGATGTTGCTGACAGAACGGGGACTCTGATGGCAGGGAATCTTTCCCACACAACAACCTATGACCCAGGAAATCCTGAATCTATTGAGGAAAGCAAGTCTATATTTAAAGTAGGTGAATTTTATGACTTAACCCCTGGTTAGTTAGTAACCGGGTTCAGTGGTCATCATGTGCAGAGCTAAAGCGACATCACCTTTTCCATAATCATAAGTAATTTCTGCCTAAAGCTGAGTCCATTGCACGATTCCGTCTAAATCATAAGCATATGTTCATGTACTTCACTATCAAACAGTAATGATACCAGGTGTCCGTCAAAAGGTGAGCGTATCCTTCCCCACCATGTTTTGTCAGTGCTGATGCTGTCGATGAATGGACTCTATTAATAGCTGGAGTGTTGGGTTTTCTAGGGATGTTGAAACTAAATAAGCCTTTTTGTAATGTTGACAAACCACTGTCCTGTTCTCCCCTTTTCCCCAGGAACAAGTAGAGTGGGCCGTGAAGGGGAGGGCGGACTACTTTATTGCGGAGACATTCAACTCGTGTAGTGAGGCCAGCCTCGCTCTAGAGGCCATCCGGAAGTATGGAAAAGGCACGTTATTTTATATGTTACTTATTGGCGGACGCATAATCACATCGACATATTAGCAGTTACCATTAAAGTCCTTTTGGCGTGTTTTGTAGAATACTCAGATGAGTCACGCGGCATCATACTGTTTATGATTGCAGGTCTACCTGCTGTGATCACAATGGCGGCGTATGTGCCGGACAGAACCACAGACGACGTCCCCTTCCCCCAGGCATTGAGGAGGCTAGAAGAGGAGGGGGCGGCAGTCGTGGGTCTGAACTGTGCTCGAGGTCCGGCCACCATGTTGCCACTTCTGAGGCAGATCCGACAGAGCTGTAAGGTGAGTCTTGGTCCCTGTCAGAGGACAGATTGTTTTCAGATGGCTTGTCTGAAACAAAAATAGGTACGTGTATGTGACATGGGTGCGCAATCAAAATTCGCCTCATTCCCTTGAAGATCTAAAAGGGCAGAAAAATGTCAAGAAGCCTGGAAACCACTTTACTAATCTGAAGCACTCTATGAAATACTCGTTACATGATGTTAAAGCTGAGATGATTGGGATGATGATGGTAATAATTGTTTGCGCACTCAGTGTTTGACATCCTAATTCACAGGGACAGTTCTACGTGACAATATATGGTCCCGTGGCATGAACGGGGTGTGAAAAGTGAGGGACCATATATGGTGCTGTGGCAACAAGAGGGTTGAGGCAGTTTAGCGATGGGCTCATGGTAGGCCACTGGGATGTATTACACTTGATCTCTGTTGGTTGGAGTCGTTTGATGAGGATGGCTACCAGGAGTTCCAAACAGCGTGGCAGAGGTAGAGGCTTCCCCTTGCCTATCTCACAAACATTGATTCAGGACTACCAATATTCAACACAACGCCAAAACCTGGGGTTGTTGGAGGTCGCCTGATACAGTACACAGGAAATTGGAAAGTCATCACTGACGACACCAGGCTGCTCGAAGTTGTAAGAAGTGGGCACAAGATCTTGTGATCATCCATTATTGAAAAAATCCGTCATCGGATTTGTCCCCCTCCGGCACAGGCAATACATGATACCTACCGTATAGTAGCAGAAATAGATGGGTGGACTATATGTACAAGCCAGTATGTCCTATCAGAGCTCTGAGATACGACATCACAGCAACTTAAAACCTCATAATACAGAGAAAACACCTATTTATCTTATGTAAGCACTCATCAGAAAAAGACATTACCAATGTCACTGTGGCAGGATGGCTCAAGACCACCATACAGACAGCTATCGCCTAGGGTTCCAGAAGAATCTCAGAATTTAGGGTAAATTGGCAATCTGAACCCAAGTCTCCTAAGTTAGTAAGCAGAAAACTCGCTAACACTGGAATCAAAGGAGATCGATAGGTAGTCTAAGATGTATCTATGCACTACCACCGGAAGTGACCCCATGGGAGACCTCACTAGCAGAATAATATGTTAAGTATCACTGTAGAGGGAGAAAACGAAAGTGACATCAGTAAAATACGTCACATAATTAAGCATAGAAGTGGTAGCAACGTTACAAGGGTCTCAGGACCGGAAGTGGTGCCACAGAAGACATCGGAACCAGAAGTTGAAGTCAGAGAGCGGCGCAAGGACCAGAATTGACGTCAGAGAGTAATGTCAGAACCGGAAATAACATCAGAAAGTAATCTCAGAACCGGAAGTGACATCATAATATGCCACAAATACCGCAAAATGACTACAAACTTACGTTACTAGAAAGTTAGGTGACATCATAAATGCCTAAATATTTACGTATGTGTATGTGCATTCCTACTTCACAAATGCCAACTATCTGGGGATGCTTGATCCCTATGGTACATGTAGTGTATACTGGCTGTTATGTAATAGAGGTAGGGTATACGAAGGAATTAACAAACAATTGGTATTCTTGTGTTTAATTTTAAGAATACTACCTCTATTACATCAATAATTGATCCCTCCTATCTACCCAAATATCATCATCTAGTTGTTGAGGGTTATGGTTTGAAAGAAGTGATGGATTGTCGCCTCGTGCATGTGCAGTTCTTGCGGAGGATAGGGTTTTCCTCACAACTATTAGATGTGCTGGCAGAGAAAAGGAAATGTGTTGAAAAAAATATAAATTTGTGTAGTGTAATATCCAGTCTAAACGGGTATTTCTGGCTATGGGGTAGCATTCTTAGAATTATACATACTGATAATTATTGTTTGATGATTAGTAGTTGGACATTTTTAAAGTTTACGGACCCATTACACTTACTGATGACAGCTTTTCCAAAACTAATTTTCTCTGACTGTCCAGGGCCCTATAGCTGCACTACCTGTCACCTTCCGCACCACGCCCCAACAGAAGTGCTTCCAGTGCCTCACAGATCCAGTGACAGGTAGGAATATGTATTGATGCTAATCTCAATAGTTTCACTCACCTTTCGTCTGAATAGTCCATTAAAATCTGAGTAACAGTGGTTGTACTTCACACCTATAAAGAGCATGCATAGGATGTGAATGGATATATGGATAGCTTAAATACCTGGTACATTTTTTATCCAGGAGCCAAGGCGTACCCAGCAGAGTTAGCTCCCCTGCAGTGTACTCGGGCAGAGATCCACCAGTTTGCTACAGAAGCGCGGGAGTTGGGCGTACAGTATATAGGTCTGTGTTGTGGCAGCGCCTCCTACTATCTGAGGGAGGTCGCCATTGCTTACGGCCGCAACCCACCAGCTGCCAAATTTAAACCGGATCTTTCTATGAGTATAGCAACAGGAGACGTCATGTTATTTGAAAGAGGAGATAGAGCGAGGAAAGTGAGATCCTTCATGTTTGCTGATATTCAATGAAGGAAACATACATGTGTGAGGCCCTTGGTTTTCACATGTTTCTGTATAAAAAATTCAGTCTTTTTATTGTTATAGCGCAAACCCTTTCTATACTTTTATTTTAAACTTCATTTATCTAAAATACCTAATTGTTTCAATCTATTCCAAAGTGCACCGAAATTCCGTCCCCTTTGTATTCAGCAAACATTCGGCACATCTCCTCTAATCATATGCCCCCTCTCGGGCAGGATCCTCTCCCCAGCACTATCTATAAATGTCAATAAACACCTCCTCACGTCGCCGAATCTTATATATGTACATGTAAATGTTTCACTGACCTTGCCCCACGTTATGTAATACCCAGAGCTACGATGGGCCCAGTTCATCGACAGAAACGAACTGATTGTACGGCTGGTCTACGTTCCCGCTACAGACATGGCGTCCGACTTCCTGATTTTATGTACGTGACAGAGCGGGTCTCCGCACCAGGAATATATTGTCCACTCGGTACTGGTGTGCGTTCTGTCGCGTGATTTTCATTACTTGTACCCTTTCCACCTATTTCAACCTGCAACAAAAATTATGTCATCACCCTGCCTACCACCCGAGGTCACCAAAGAATGCTCTTGGACATTATCTTAGGGATGATAATTGAATTGTGCAAGCCTAAGATGATATATTACCAGTAGTCAACCCCGTCACTCTGGTGGGATTTCCAAAATGATGGCACCTCCGTTTCCGTAAAACAAATATGTTATACACGCCAAGGTGACAGTTGTTGGCCATCATTCAGTCCTATCAAGAGTGAGTAAGTTCAGGAGTAGATACCTAACGCGTTGTATAACAATAACAATCTGATATAAATATATATAAACCCTGACAGGTGACAGTTGTCAGTCGGTCTCTCAGACATAAGTGCATGCTGGGATACACAAGAATCGAAAGTGCCACCATCTTGGAAAAGACGCCCTATCACGGCAAGATGGTGTCACGACCAGTCACAACCAGTATACTGCCACCCTGACAGAATCTTGGGGGAAGTGACGGGATCTTGCAGGGAGTGACTGGATCTTGCAGGATGTGATGAGATCTCGCCAGAAGCGACAGAATCCTCACTGGAAGAGATGGTATCTCACAGGATGGGATGAGATCTCACTGGACATGACAGGAATGGGTTGGGGCGCTTGCACGGAGGAGAGTGAGGAAGAGGAAGGTAGCCGGGCGGTGGGTGATGTGAAGGGCAGAGCGGGAGAAATGGATTGACAAGCTGGAAAACAAACAACAAAAAGAGATACTTTCAACCATATTTTATAAACATTCTTTTGAGATGATTGGGGGTGGCCCTGAAAAGGGCCGTTGGAATAGTGGGAGGAAATACCATTGCTGTCCCAATGCAGAAGCATGTAAAGGTAGACAGTCACAGAAGGTGATGCACGCCTGATTCTCGGCATTCTGGGTTAAGCAAAAAGTCACATTTCATTTCTCTTGTGATTCCCTTGACAAAGAACACCGTCAAGGTGAAACAAGTGGGAACTACAACTCTTGGTACCACAGATGCATTACTGATGTGTCAACATGGGCTATTTACACAAAATAGGCATGAAACCCTCTCATGTAGGGCCCATCTCACCTTACTCAAATCATAGGGGTTGGTGGTGAGACCTGCCCTAAATGAGTGCGTTTGATTTTACGCCGCTTTTAGCAATATTCCAGCAATATCACGGCGGGGGACACCAGAAATAGGCTTCACACATTATACCCATGTCGGGAATCGCGTCTTTTGCATGACGAGCGAACACTTTAACCACTAGGTTACCCGAGCGCCCCCTGCCCTCAAAACGCACATTCACATTTGTATGGCGCCAAACTCCAAACCAGCTCATGTACTCATGGAGCTTACATATAACAAGGTTAATACTTGTCAAAGAGAAATGTTTTTAGTCTAGCCTCAAAGACACATAGGGTCTCTGCAGTTTTTAAGGTTTCTGGGAGTGTATTCCACAGCATAGGTGCTTGACCTGGAGAATGATCTAAAGCCATGTCCCTTTAATCTCCATCTTAGAACACTACACAAAAGCTGCCATTTTATATATTGTTTTCTCAGTAAACTTCAGATTTGCTTTCAGTCTGACAAATAACCCTGAACCTCCGAGGACATATATGTAACTGTATCTTTGGTCACCACGTTTTGTAACAAAAGCCCCATGGATCAAGGAATGAAGTTTTTTCCGAAAGTTTGTCATGTTGGATAGTGGTGTACAAAGTTGAAATATCAAATGTTTTGACAGAACTGAACATGGTTAATGTTAATTAGACAGGTGCTAGAAATGTTAGAAGCCAATATCATTCAGCCCAGTTCTTAAGGATGGCACTCTCCTATAGTCATGGTTAAAAAACGTGACAGCTCTTATTGCTTTGCCATAGATTATCGACACCTCAGTGCAGTTACCAACCAATAGTTTTCCCCTCTGAGGTTTTTTTAAGGTGTCCTTGATGCCGAGGCAAATACCATTCCATCCAGATATGTGTTTGTGAATGGAATCGCCTCCCTTTTGGCCTATAGAACAGCCCAAAGGCATTTCAGCAAAACATTAAACCAAAAAGATGGAGCATTGGATGGTCCAACAATTGTCAACAGGCTTTCGAAAAGCTCAAGCAATCCCTCACAACTGTCCCCATCCTTGTCTACCCTGATCAAAACAATCTCTTCATCTTTACAACTGATGCTTTTCAAACTGCAAAAGGGTACATCTTAGGCCATCTTGATTCTCATGGCAGAGAAGATGTGATATTTAATGGTGGTCACTCTCTCAATACAGCAGAAAACATTAAGGGAATCACACATTTAGATAGAAGGCATCAAAAGCTTCAGAGTGTACTTTGCAAATGGATCATTGCCAATGTCAATTCCACAACTACGCCTTTGACTGCCTCTTCTCGCAAATATGCACATTCTTGAGTCTGATTGAAATACATATTAAAATAAATAGGATAAACAAGGCATGATAATCCTATTAATGACTTGCCAGTCCTATTTATTGTAATGTTCTTCAATCAGGCTTTATGCTTCAACCTTCTATTTTGTAAACATCTATCTATCATCCTTCCACCTTGAACAGACATCAGTTATCCACAAATATCTAACTTCCCTCCTTTAATATTCTGTACATCACTTGCTTGATAACGGTCTGAGTATCTTCATTGTAAGAAAGCCATTCTATATCCATATCTCCCTTGTTTATCATGCCAACTTGTAAATGCCACTTAAACAAAATATGTTAGAAGCAGCCATTTAGATTTATTACTTGTACCTAATAGACTGAGCCTAACCATACCTCAGTACTCATTGAAACTTAACTCATTATCTAGACAATATTTACAACGAAATAAAAAGTGTTGACCTAAAATAAGAATAACATTTAAATCCTTCTGACCTTGAAACAAGAGAGGAGAGAGCTGTAGGTTCGTTTGGGTAACTCAAGCAAGTGTGCATAAGACTGAAAACCTAAATCAAGGTTACAACATTCAAGGCCTCAGTAAAGCTTTCAAAATGTTTTCTGGTAGACATGTGGAGGACATTTTCAAATATGACGCATCATTGACAAAAATTCTGTGAGATGCAATTGCCTATTTTGACTTGTACCATTGGTTCCCGGGTTTGTTCGGGTTAATAATTGCCTTGCTTTTGCATGTGTTTGTGACAGTTGCCACCAGTGGGACAGGATACGCTCACACTTCCGCGAATGCGTGGTATCATTACAATTTGATAGTGATTCATAAACACATGCTCATGATATAGTCGGAATCGTACAATCGACTCTGCTTTATGCAGGGATTCTATTGGATATGGAAAGGGTTTAAATATATATATATGCCTGCTGGCAAGGTAAAGCGTTTTAGTGCTTGACCATGGCACTTTCGAGAGAAGAAGGGGCTGTTAAGACAGTAATCTCGTCATTGCCTAACAAGAGTTGAATTTCATGCCGTTTTAGCTGATGTTTAAAAAAGTGCCTGTTAGGAAGGGAATACTCATCAGCGCTTGACCATGATACTCAATGGAGAAAGAACGGTGCTGACATTGATGCACGGTACCGCTGACACCTCTATGATTTCGTAATTCAACATTCGCGTGTATATGTTTGTTTGCAAGCGACAGCCACTGGGCTTGACTAGTGCTTTTATAAACGAGGTATACTGTGCCTAATGACTTGCGAATTTAAGATTTCCTTTGTGAGGTTAATTTGTGAAAAATATAAAAGCATCAAGAAGTGTATGCACTGTAATAATAGAAGCAAATATTAAAGTTCATGCATCGCATCCTTTGACTCGCTTTATGTTGCACACATGGACTGAAATGCATTCGGGACAGTCTCAATAACCCAATGCATATCACTATGACAGTACTTGAATATAAACAGAGATTACTACACGAGTGTTTGACAGATGCCATTAATATGGTTGTGAGATATGGTGTATTGCTGTATGCAGTAATCTGTGTCCCCCCCCCCCCTAAAATTACAGCTTTTTAACATCGTCTTTTTATTTTACAACCTAAGCCTATGAAACGGAATGAGAGCGTGAAATAACCCTCCAAACAGAGTCCAAAGATATATGTTTTAATTTCATCGCAACCTAATGTGCACTGTTTGGATTCACTAAACACAGGCCCTTGTGTCGTTGCTTAAATATTTCTAGGTCAACTGACACACAAAATGCACTATCCTATTATATCTTTACACAAGGGCAGACACTCTGTACAGCACCGCTAGCCTTGTATGACTGTTTCTAAAGTGAAATCACAAATCAGGCACAAAACTTCATATCTACCTTGTCTGGGGTGATTATTCTATCGATTTCAATATATGACACCTCCCAATTCTTTATTGCTATGAAAACTGGGTGTTCACTTAAAAAATCACACTGGTACTTTTCAAATGAAAACAATTCCATCTTTGGATTTCTGTCTATTTTATTCTGTTTCATGAGTGTTTCATGAGTATTTCATGTCAATTCATGTCAATTCCTCTCATTTCATGTCATTTCATTTCATGTCATTTCATGTCACTTCATGTCATTTCATTTCACTTCATTTCATTTCATGATTTACTGCAAATAAAGAAAAATACCATTACTCTAGATTGCAAATACAAATAAACTATACTCAAAAACATTTCTTTGCAAAAGAACATTGATTTTAGGACACATTAGGAAATTTATGGTAATTACAAAATGTTATTTACCAGAACCAATGTAATTAATTCAAATATATAATATCACAATTATACATCAAAACCTAAAGATATTAGTAAAAATGTTGTTGTATTTACCTTGTTGTTAACCACTTTTATCACATCAT